GCACGAAGGCGCACTAGCAGAGAAAGGCGCACGAGGGCGCACGTAAGGTAGGGCGCACGAGGGCGCTTCTAGCGGAATAGTGGGCCCATAGTAGAAAGCGGTCCTAGGTAGCAACCTAGGCTCGTGATACCATGTTAGAATCTAGAATAGAACGAGAATGAATGAAACTAGGTAGGAGGGGGATACAAGTAGGAAACCCTAACAAAGCTGTACCCCCTAAGGCTAAACCCACTATAGCCTACACAATATAAACATATAATGTTTGACATGACCCGCTACTGAAACAAGCCCTTTTATCCCAATGGTCTAGTGGTTGGGATTCTGACATGGTATCAGAGCGGTCTCGGGTTCGAATCCCGGTGTATGCACATGTTGGCCATTGCCACAGTGCTCAGTCCTGGGCCTCCCAGTGTGGGGGGGTGTCAGTAGAGCTACACTGTGAGATCCCCGATCGATCCTAGGGGGGGTTACAGGCGCGTTTGCCTGGGGGGTTATGGGCGCACTGACCCGCTACTGAAACAAGCCCTTTTATCCCAATGGTCTAGTGGTTGGGATTCTGACTCGTTGAAGACTCGGGCGACTGCCAGCGAGGTAGCATGACCCAGTTACCGCTACTTCGCACAGTGCAGCTACCCGTCGTCCAGTCGATTCGTGGGTTGTACCGTCGTAGCCAATCACGTCCCAGTAAAACATCATGCCCATCCAATGTCGTCGCGAGCATTTCCTGTGTAAACCCGAAGTTTCCTCCGCGGCGAACTTTTACTCTCTCCACCCTCTCCCGTATGGCCAGCGGCGTGCCGTCAACTAAGCGTGCGTCGATGTGAGAGTACGACGGCTTATGCCAGCTATGCTTGCTTGCCTTTACTTTATTATGCTATTTCTAGCATAGGAAAATTATATGCATGCATTAATTGCTTGATTTCCTAGGCTAGGTGCTTTCCTATATTTTATTATAGTTATAGCACCGAGCTAGGTTGCGTGCACCGAATTCTGGCTTTTCGGTTGCCACCGAATTGCCTTCTACCGAATTCGGGAAGGATCTGTTCGGGACGCTTCGCGACCTGCGGAACCTTAGCGTAACACCTGGTTACGGGGCCTTGTGTCGAGCCTATATATAGCCTCGTGTTGTACCCAGGTGATCAATTCAATTCAATTCAATTCACATTCTCTTTTCTGAGCTCGATCCTAGATCCTCACAGTCGATCTCAGGTAAGCAGCGACTAAGTGTCAGTTGTAATTTTCGCGCAGTTGCGGTATTAACTAAACTGTGGCTTGCTCCTCCGTCAATAAAAATCTTCACTGCTGCTCCCTGTATTTTCCCGTGGATCAGTACTGGGCAATCCGTCGTTGTACCCTCCTTATTCATCCGAGCCCGATCGATGGCGTGAATCGGTACTGTGACTCGGTGAGGGTCGGTGCGGTTGGGCGAGCAGGCAGTCTCGTCAGTAGTTGGCCCAACTTCTACTGACTGCTGGCGTTTCCCTGCCTCTGAGACTCCCTTCCCTGCTCTGCTCCGCGGCGCCTTAGCTCCTCTGGGCATTCGCTCTTGCGATGGCCCGGCCTGTTGCAAGCAAAGCAGCGCCCCTTAAACGGTGCGGCAGCTGCATTCGTTGCAACAGCGTTTACAGTGGCGTGCTCGATCGGTCCCCGAGGACGATGTCCGTAGTAGGACCCCGGTCTCGGTCGGCGTAGAATGTCGATTTTCTCGGCGAGCGCGAGAATCTCGTTGAAGTTTGAGAGTCCGCGCAGCATGATTTCGTGCGAGATATCCGGCTTCAGCCCTCCGACGTAACGGTCCACCCGCTCCGCTTCGTGCATGTAGCCGACCTGCTCGCAAAGTGCGAGAAAACCGCTCGTGTAATCTTGAACCGACCCGAGCTGCCGCCAAGTGCGCAATCTCTGACGCGCCGAAATAGAAGCCGCGATCGGCTCGAAGCGCGCCCGAAGCCCTGCGCACCACGCATCCCACGTGCTGTATTGGGCGGTCTCGCAGAATGAACTCCAGGTGATAGCTGGACCCGTGGGCCCTTCCTCTTGCGACGGTGGCTCGTAGGCGCGTGGCGACGTCACGATGACTCGCCACCAGTCCATGGCGGGGCCCCTTAACAGCGAAACGGCATACCGAATCTTCGCTGCGTCCGACTCGACGTAATTCGCGTCGAAGAAGACGTTCATCGTGAAAACCCACGATTGAACCGTCGGACCTCCACGCTGGCTCGGGTCGAAACAGGGCGGGCGTTGCGGCTTGAGTGGCATTGGTGCCATGATGGCCTGTTCGCCACTTGTCGCCGCGAACTCCACGTGCCGACGGGCTTCGCGAGGCTCCCGCGGGCTTGGCGCGCCCCTGTTTCCTCCCATGCCAGGCATTGGTTGGGCGGCGCTATCACTGGCTGCGCCCGAGCGCTGTCCCACGCTGTCGTGTTGTGTTGGTGTCCCGGACGAGATGACGATTGGCTCGTCCGATTGTGCAGGTGCATTTGTTGGTGCGTGTGGTGCTGCTGGAGTGTTCACCGTTGATTGCTGACGCGCGGAGTCACGTTCCGCTGTGAGCATCGCAATTTCGAGCGCCGAATCTTCGAGTTGGCGCACCAGACGGTCGAGCTGCTCCTGCGTCAATGTGGCGAGCGTGAATTCGGCCATGGCGGGGGTGTCGGGCGAGCTCAGCGAGAGCCTCAGTCGTGGCCGTGCGTGCTTACGAGAGAGCACTACGAGCGGCGGTGCTGTGTCGCTGAGGGACGTCTACCCCCCCCAAAAATTGAGATAGTGGGGAAGCGAAGGTGTGGGTGCGGTCCGAGAAGAGGTCGTAGGCTCTGAATACCAAGTGTTACGAGTGCAATTGAGTGAACGAACGAGAATTGCACTATCGAAGCAAGAGTACAATGAGCGAAGGCATGAGCAAAGAATATATAGCGAGACTACAGTGGTAACGGTAATGCACTGTGGTTGTCGCGCGACGGGCCTGAGACTGAGGTTGGGAAAAGTGTCGAAGCGGAGGCCCGGAGCGCGGGTTACCCGCCGAGCCGTGAGGTCGGGGTGCGACGTGCGAAGGTGGCGGGCGGATTGTCGATGCGAGGATTGCGAGTGGTAACGGTGCTGACTGTGGTGCTACAGTGATGTACGCGTTGAGCAGGGACGCGAAGTAAGGAAAAAGAGATTTTCCTTACACTATACATGTATTGACGGTATAGCATTCCGGCGGGATTTGTTCCAATACACTGACTGACCTTTTGGCCCCGTTTGTGTCTCGAGCCGTCTTTCCATCCAGCGCTTCATTGCCCGACCATGCCGACTCGGGGGAGCGTCTGTTGGATTGGTCAAACATAGCCTTCGACCTTCATCATAATCGCTTCGCCAATTTTCAATGTCCATTTCCCGTCTACGAACCGCCCGATTCCATCAAATCACATGCTTCCTTTCGCCCAACCGTACGATAATCTCACCTCACCACCACCCACCACTAATTTTACCGCACCGCAACTATCACACCAGCAGCAGCTTCAGACTAATGCAACCTGAAATTGCGCCCCCCGCGGCCCCACCCCCACCCACACCAACCTCGCCAGAGACTTCGCTGCTGAGAACTTGGTCGAAAAAAACCGAGAAAAACTGTTCTGCTCTGCTGCACTCTAACCGCGAAAGACCCATCGAGTAACCACCGGATGCTTACCTGCACCGTGGCTTTTGTTTTCCGTCAATTTCTCCCTCCTACAGCGACGCCAGTAGCGCACCGAAGGACGTATTCTATCCGTCATTTTTATTCAAACACACGCATTCTCGCTGCCTACCTAGTGGCCCTAACAGTGCCGTGTCGTGTGCGCTGCGCTGCGCACTGGCTTCCTTCGACAGCAAGGAGGGAGGACCTACAGCTTGCTCCTTCACTCTCCCGCCGACCAGAAAACTGGAAGGAACCAGAAGTACATAACAGTGTTCCTCACTTGAATCAGTACTACAGGGAGGCATTCTTAAACTTCGCATCGCATTTTTCTTGCCGCTTAGTACGCGCTGCGGGGCCTGCCTGCCACCAAGGGTTTTTACACACAATTCACTACGGGCCAAAGAAGTCCAGCTGGGTGGGATCGATTTTCACGTTGCTTTCAGTTCAGTCGCTCATACATACATAGCAGTAGTTCTTGACCATTGGCCGTGGTCGGGTTGTGAGGCGCCTCAAATCAAAACTAGACGTTGCTTTCAGTTCAGTCGCTCATACAGGGCAGTAGTTCTTGACCGTTGGCCGTGGTCGGCGAATCTTGCACTCCTCATCCCACCCAACGACAAACCCACACACATGCCCGTTAGTCACAACACAAGCTCTCGCTCCCTCCTCCGAGGTGACTTTTCGAGTCGACTCAAAAGTCACCAAACCCACACCCATGCCCCTTAGTCACAACAACACAGGCTCTCGCTCCCTCCTCCGTAGATAGAAACTACTGTTGCTGTAAGGTCGCCTTGTTTTGCAAGGAGCCTTCTTAGTGGCACAGAGTAAGAGAGTGCGAGTAGCCAAGATACGGTGCTTTTATTAACAGGCACAGGGCAAGGGACGCGAAAGTAAGAGGCGAAGATGGCGGCAGATTGGCGAAATATGGTAACCCTATCGGTCTTCGCGTTGGTGTTCCTCGCCATCGTCGAGAAAAGTCCGCCCGGCGCCCTGGCCTACAGCAGTTTCAAAAAGAAGCTCACGCCCATCCCCTTTCCCAGCCCCTTCCCCAGTAAGCCCCTTCCCGCCAGTCCCCTCCCCAGCCCCTTCCCCTCAGCCCCTTCCCCAGTAAGCCCCTTCCCCTCAGCCCCTTCCCCAGTAAGCCCCTTCCCCTCAGCCCCTTCCCCAGTAAGCCCCTTCCCCTCAGCCCCTTCCCCAGTAAGCCTCAAGCTCCTTCCCAGTAGGTCCCTTTCCCAGTAATCCGCTATTCTTATAACCAATTGTTTCAACTTCGGTAAGGGGTGCGTGTTCTATTCGGCTTTCGCCCTAAGTACCAGAAGCTAGTGATGTCGCTCCTCCCTTACTTATGCAAAGGCCCCCCTTCTTCCCCCTCTCCCCCATCTTCTCCCCCTTCCCCTCCCTTCCCCTTCATCGTCTCGACCACCGCACCCCCCATCCCCCCACTCCCCACCCCCTTCCCCTCCCCCCAACATCACGCCCCACACAACCCCACCAACCTCACCACCAGGCGCGACCGATCCAGACCCCCCCAAACCGTGGACCTGCGATGTTTCCTCTGGAAGCTGGACACCTTCCGCGAACCTTCCACTCTACACCGGGCTGACGTGTCCGTACATCCGCTCCGGCCACAACTGCCAGTCCGCGGGGCGCTCCGATATGAGCTACCAGAAGCAGCGCTGGCGGGTAGGTCATACGCGCTATTAGCACATATACTCGTCATTAGCTCTGCTGTGCTCATCCCGCGCTGCTCCTACCTCCTCTACCTTCCCTTCCCTTCACCTGCTACCATTCTCCCTCCCACACCAGCCTTGGGGTTGCAAGGTGGTGCAGTTGACCCCACAACGCCTCCTCGCTCTCTTCCGAAACAAGACGGTGGTCGTGTTCGGCGATAGCGTCTCTAAAGACCTCTCCACGTCGCTACGCTGCGTGCTCACACCATTCCCAAGTCCCCATTCCCTTCCCTCCCCTCTCCCACACCAGCCGTGGGGGTGCAAGGTGGTGCAGTTGACGCCACAGAGACTCCTCACTCTCTTCCGCAACAAGACGGTCGTGGTGTTCGGCGACAGCGTCTCTAAGGACCTCTCCACGTCGCTGCGCTGCATGCTGCACGCCGCCAGCCCCAACTTCTCGCGATTCAAGCTCGCAGGAGGGGCGACGAGAGTGTGGGGCGAGAAGGTGAGCAACAGAGAGGAAACAAAAAGTGATATTTCTTCCCAAATGCATCTCAACCTTCCTCCTCTGCCTCTCCTCCCAAACTCTCCTCCCTGATCATCTCCTCACTCCGCCATCTCTCTCCCCCATCTCACTCCCCCATCTCACTCCCACATCTCATTCCCCATCCGTCTCCCCCCATGCTACATCCGCATAGTGTCGCTCTTCTCCTCGCATCTCAACCACATTGGGTTCATCCCCGATGCATCCCAACCTCCGTCCCTTATCATCTCCTTCATCTCCCTCTCTCCCGGTTCACGTCCCCATCTCACTACCCTCCTCACTCGCCCATATCTCTCTTCTCCTCACTCCCACATCTCACATGTTCAGGTGGAACCCCAAAACATCCGCATAGTGTCGCTCTTCTCCTCGCATCTCAACGACATTGGGTTCATCCCCGACGCATCCCAACCTCCTTCTGCCGCTGCTGCTGCTGCCGGTGTTGGCGGTGTTGGCGCTAATGGTGCTGGTGCTGGTTGTGATGTTAGTGCATCTAATGCTGCTGCTGCGGCGTCTGTTGATAGAACGGAGGAAGCTCGAGAAGAAGCAGTTAGAGCAGTGGCAACCGAAGCAGACATAGCACGAGCCACCACAATGAGTGCCACTGCCGCTGCTGCCGAAGCAGGAACAGCAGTGGCAACAGGAGAAGCAGGGGAAACAACAGCAGCAACAAGAGCAGCAAGAGGAGCAGGTTCCGGGAATCTTCCAGGGAGAGTCTCACCCCAAGCGCAGCAGCAAGCACGACGAGTCTTCCTCGACCAGATCGACCCAAAGATTAAAGACCTGCTCCCTAAAGCCGACATAGTTATTTTCCAGGCGACTAACTGGTGGTACGCGGAAGACAACCAGTGGTTCCTAGGCGGCAGGCAGCAGAAAATAACCCGAGACGCAGCCTATGCGATCGGGCTGGCGACTCTAAGAGACCATGTGGCGCGGTCGGGCTTTAAGGGAAAGGCGGTGGTGATGGGCGTGTCTCCTTCGCACTATATCGTCCCGGTGGCTGGGATGAAGAAGGGGAAATGCGACATTAACACGCGTCTTGACTGGAACCAGGTAAGCAGTTACTTCAGAAATGAATTTAACGGGAAGGCGGTGGTGATGGGTGTGTTTCCTTGGGAAGTTAAGCAGGGGAAGTTAAGCAGTGATGGGTGCACTATATTGTGCCGGTTCCGGGGATCAAAATGGGGAGATACAATATCAGCAGGCATCTCAACTGGAACTAGGTGAGAGATTACTTCATAGAAAAGTGAGGATGAGCAATAACTTTAGAAAAATGAGGATGAGCAATTACTTCATAGAAAAATGAGGATGAGCAATTACTTCATAATATAATGAGGATGAGCAGTTGAATGTCTGAATTGTGCAGGGTGCAGCTGATAGAACCAAAGTATATGAACAGCTTTGAATATATATATATATACATATATATATATATATATATTTTTTTTTTCCCTCCTGCCTTACCTTCTAAGCAGACGAAGGAAGTGAGGCGTATGGGGTGAGCAAGGTGCAGCTGCAGCTGCTGAAATCATCTCTGTTCTTCCCACTCCTCGCTGCCTTCCTTCCTCCATCCGCTCCTTCCACCCTTCTCCATTCAGACAAAAGAACTGAGGATGGATGACCGATCATTTGAAATGCGCAAGGTGCAGCTGCAGGTGCTGAAATCATCTCTATTCTCCCCACTCCTTGTTGCCTTCCTTTCTCCGTCCGCTCCTCCCACCCTTATCCATTCAAACGAAGGAAGTGAGGAGGATGGACAGCCGATCATTTGAAATGCGCAAGGCGCAGCTGCAAGTGCACAAAGCATCTCTATTCTTCACTCTCCTTGTTGCCTTGCTTTCTCCATTCAGACCAAGGAAGTGAGGAGGATGGACAGCCGGTCATTTGAAATGCGGAAGGTGCAGCTGCAGGTGCTGAAAGGGTCACGGCTGCGATACGTGGACGTGTTACCAATGAGCTTCTGGCGGCCAGACGGGCATGTATCGAAATGGAATGTACCAGGTGCGTCACTGTACTGTGTATTACATATGGGTTGTGTTTTTAAGAGCGAGCTTTATCTTTTCTGATTCTATCCTTTTCAAACACCCCTTCTACCGTATCATCCCTGGGCAGGTGGTAACACTGGAAAGCAAGATTGTCTGCACTGGTGTGAAGCTGGTGTAACAGATGCGTGGGTGGAAATGCTATACAATACACTGCTTTATTAAGCAGGAAAACCCAACCCTGCAGTATTCTGGTTAAGAATCCTTGCACATAAAACTATATATACGGTACACTGACCTAGGGTCCTAATGGTTGCTTCCAATATCAAAATGTCAATCACTACAATAGACAATAAAACTGCATATGCTTGCCCTGCATTTTGTGAGTGTTTCCGATACGGTATAAATCGATACACAGTTCTCATACGGCATAAATATTCACATGGATGAAAAGCTCCATAATACGAGTAACAGTTACAGCACCCGGTATGTGCAATGGGTTGGGGATTCATGTTACATCAACTACCGGTACTACATGGATGTCAATCTGTGGGCATCCTGTCTGCAGCAGAAGTTGAGTTCACAGCGCATTCCACCACGCCTGAGCACCCCACATCGTGTAGCCCTGCAGGCAACCACCACACGTACACAGTGAGACGCAAGGTGATGCCTTAAAGCCCAGACTCAATCCGTGGGAATCCTGTCAGCAGCAGAGGATGAGTGCACTGCACACTCCACCACGCCCGAGCACCCCACATCGTGTAGCCCTGCAGGCAACCACCACCGCACACCACAGATGCAGAGACCCATGGTGATCAATTAAAGCCCAGATTCTACCAACAAGGTTAAAGCCAATCCGTGAGCATCCTATCAGCAACAGAGGTTGAGTTCACGGCACACTCCACCTCGCCCGAGCACCCCACATCGTGCAGCCATGCGGGCAACCAATCACCACCGCACACCACACATAGACAGATACACGAACAGACACAAGGCGATTCTTGAAGCCCAGCTCCAAGTCACAGCAAATCTGCTGTGACCTGTTGGGCTGAGTGCTCCCATGACATTTAGTACAGCCTTCCTCTCCTGTATGTAGTGCCATGTATGTGGTACCTGGCATGTATGTGTACCTGGCATGTATGTGGTACCTGGCATGTATGTGGTACCTGGCATGTATGTGGCACCTGGCATGTATGTGGTACCTGGCATGTATGTGGTACCTGGCATGTATGTGGTACCTGGCATGTATGTGGTACCTGGCATGTATGTGGTACCTGGCATGTATGTGGTACCTGGCATGTATGTGGTACCTGGGAGTGGTACCTGGCATGTATGTGGCACCTGGCATGTAATACTATATGAAGGCATGGTGACACCGAGCAACTCATTTTTCCATGCCTGTTCCAAGCTCGGTTTTCCCTGCTGGAACCTCTCCCTTATCATCCTAAAGTTGCCCTGTTTCATTCCCACCTTCCCATGCTGCAAGGACACCTTTTCAAACGTTACATGCTCCGAGTTCCATTTTGTGATGAGTATCCATGTCACTTCACACGTCCACCTTCCCCTGCGACACAAACCCGCCCTTTCTTACAAAGTTCACCTTCCCCTGCGACACAAACCCGCCCATTCTTACAGAGTTCACCTTCCCCTGCGACACAAACCCGCCCTTTCTTACAGAGTTCACCTTCCCCTGCGACACAAACCCGCCCTTTCTTACAGAGTTCACCTTCCCCTGCGACACAAACCCGCCCTTTCTTACAGAGTTCACCTTCCCCTGCGACACAAACCCGCCCTTTCTTACAGAGTTCACCTTCCCCTGCGACACAAACCCGCCCTTTCTTACAGAGTTCACCTTCCCCGTCACCGATTTCAAGCTAACGTCTCCCTGTTGCAAGCCCAACTTTCCCAAGCTCACCTTTCCCTGCTCCAAGCTCACCTTTCCCCGTCTGCGCGGCCTGGCAGGCGCGCATGGTCTTGCAGTGCTCCGCCTCGTCGTCGCGGATGTTCACAAACACGTCGTACAGACTCTCCACGCGCGGCGACGGCCGCTCCGTGTCAGCCTGCATCTGAAACCCGTCGAAGCGGTACAGGTTACCCCCGTTATAGTAACTCACCGCTATCTGAACAGGAGGGAAACGTGAAGGAGAAACAGTTAGGATCAGAACCGGGGGGAAAGGAAGTTTCGAGAGTGAGTCAGAATCCGTGTGACTGAAGGAGCTGATTCCAGAAGAGTGGTGAGCTGTAAGAATCCGGTCATGTAAAGCGTGATATGGAACGGGGTATACACCGCAAACAGGAGCTGCACAATGAGAACTGGATCAATAGTAACGAGGATAGGGTGTAATACCTCAGGAGCAGGCTGCGTCTTGAGAATGTCGCCTTGGCTCATGAGGAACTTATCGTACGTTTCATACGCATGCTCCTCGACCAGCTCCGATAGATGATACGCCATGCGAGGGCTGATCAGGTAACAGAAAATGGCGAAAAAGTAGTAACCGACGGCGATGTGCTGTGCGACGAACCGATCCACCCAGCTCCGGTCGCCGCCGAGAGACTCCATGATCATGAGATGGTGCGTTTCGTTCACGCTCTCGTCGAAATGGGCTTTAAGGAACTCGATCCGTCGCCACCAGCCGAAGCTCTCGTACAGATGGAGGATCGAAACGTACGAGAAGTATGGAACGCGCGCGATCGTTTCGAGGACGTAGAACCGGGCGTACGCGCGCTCCGTCGTCCCGTAAAAGGCGTTCAGGATGTGAAACGCGGCGTCGGTAATCAGTTTGTTGATTCCTCGTTCTAGGGATACCACAGCTCGAGCAGGCTGGGTGTCAGGAAGAGGATTCGGACATAAGGGGAAATTATCGATCGCTGTGGGTATCGAGGATGTGCTAATGGAGGATGTAGGGTCGACAGGAGCAATGGTGGAAGCGGAAGCTTCGGCTTGTACACTGTCTCTTGCGGGTGTTTTCAAGTTTCGACCCTTACGAGCTTGAGAGTCTGAAGATGAAGTCGACAAAGGAGACGAGCTGGCTTGGCAAGTGCATGTCAACGTAGCAGAGGCGGTGGGTCTGGAACGCAGCGCTAAGGTCGTCACTTTGGCTGAAAATTCACGTTGAGATCGTCTGTCAGTGCATTTCAAGTTAGTGCTCTGACATGCCGTGTTGCGTACATTCGGCTGGACGGACGAGGTGGAAGACATGGTGATGGTGCGGAAAAAGCCACCGAAGGCAATTTATTTGATAGAATAGCAATAGATCAACCTTGAGCTAGGAGCTCGCAGACGCGACGCGAGTGCTTAAGTCTGCAAGGAGTGCCGAGGACTCCAGAGTTGGGAAACGCGTTCTAGAGAGGGAAAACTGGAGTAGTTCAACGAGCACGTCTTGTAGCAGTCCCACACAATATGTCGGTGATTGCAAGGACTTTGTGCCAGACTTCGACCTGAAACCGTACTGCATCTTTGTTTCTAGAATCTGAACCTAGCAAGGCCGCTTCCAACCCCGTTCAAGAAAGACTCCAGCAATTGTTGCTTCTCGATCAGTGCGTGCATCTCTGGGGAACTCCTTGTAATTTTGGCTTCCCACTTACCCTTTGCCAGTTGAAATCGGTATAAAGGATTATTGAAGACACTTTTTGCTGGGTGGAAGGTGGAGTTGGTTGTACAGTGTGGGACCTCCCAGTAGCCTGGTTGGAGAGCATGAGAAAGAACCGCCACTTCGGATTGTTAGTGTAAATTCTAGTTGCCCTGGCAGCAAAAATATTCTCAAGATTACAGAACTGTCTGTGATGACGCTGTCGGCTTCTGCTTCTTTTTACTGGTGGCGCTTGGTGGTCACCAGTAGCTGGCCAATGCTTTCAAGCGCCTTGATGACGTCGCCCTCCGACCTGGCCACCACGAGCCTCATTGGTGTGTCAAGTCGGCGTGGCGAGATGATGGCGAATATCGGGATCGTGCTGGAGAAAAGTGTACAAGACACCCTTGCACCTTTTCCTGCTTCTTCTGAGACTGCTGCGCTTGTGGCCCATTCAACATGAATGCGATGTCCTCACTGTACATAATCTTACGATTGGTAAGGGAGATATATATTAGCATTGATAACCCTGAACTGAGCTGTCTGTTATAGTAACGCATTGTTAGCACTAACGCTCGGTTTAGTCATGGCAGGCTGGGCGACATCAGAGGCATGCCATGGAGGAGAACAGTAACCCTTCCCACCGACACGTCATCTCCTTCACATACCACGTCAGGGTGACTTGGACCGAGGGTCGAGAAGTTCGGGTGTCGCGCTCAGTTGCATTGGGACGTATTCCAGACCCTAAGTCGGGTGGAAATGACTGGTTAGGAACGAGGTTCGCCACACAAACGACACTGTCATCCTGACCTCTCTCCAACCCATGGGCCTTGGAGACGACTCGCGAACCTGGTTGCTTCAACGACCCCCTGCTTGCCTGAAGACTGATGTACAAACACGCCCTGGAAACTCTTCTACTGGTTCAAGAAGCCAATACCAAGGGCGTTTCCAGAAGATCCTCCTCCTCTTCTGCTAAATCATTCCACACTTCTTGATTCACTTGACAGTTTCGACCATGTCTTCCGCATATGTCTGTAGCATTCAATAGCATTGCTTTTCCCCATTGTAGCTTTGGATTCTTAGCTTGTTCAGCTGTCAGTATAATTTTTATCCAAGTTTTGTACTTTTGGTGGCGCATCAAGTCCAGCTTGTTCAGTTAGTCAAGTTCCACATCAAAATTCATCTTACTGAGCTGTACTTTCCGCGAATTAGCAGATTATGGCGGCAGTGCTACGCTCAACATGTGTTCAGGACATTGTAGCAGGAAAGAAATGCCTCGTTTCCGTAGACGCTAACGCATCACTCTATAACGCGTTGGAAATCCTCCGCCGCCATGACATCACCGCCATGCCCGTCCGTTCCTCGCCGTCATTGGCGCAAGTCGCGCAGAGACGCCTGCTCGCGCAGATGTCGGCGATTTCGGCCTCGACGCGACGCACGCAGAACTACCCGCGGTCAATCATTGCTCCTTCGAAAGTCTGTTTCACTGGAATGGTGAGTTCCCGGAGGGTAACGAGCGTGGAATAGAGCAACACAATTGTCGCCATTTTTCGTTATCAAATTAATTATAGTGAGTTCCCGGAGGATAAAGAGCGTGGTTGGACAGAGCAACACAACGTGATATCCATCCGCGGCTTATGCTAGAGTCACTATTGAAAAGAGAGTGTAGGGAGAGAAAACAAAAATATGAAACACACAAAAAAACACACTCAACAGTGAACTTCGTTATAGGGATTGATGTCCTGGATGTTCGTTTCTGTGTCATTGGCTTGGCAGATTTCAGTCATTGACATCACCATCTTCATCGCCAGACGCTGCAGCAGCACCAGCAGTAATGCCACCTCTGCCAGCACCGCCGCCACTGCCAGCGCCAGTTGTGGTAGGAGTATTGCCCTCGAGTCGATTCAGGAACAGCAGAGCGGGGAAGAAACGGAAGGGGAAGGAGAGGGTGAGGGGGAAGGAGCGGGAGAAGGGGAAGGAGCGGGTGAAGGGAGAAAAGGGAGTGAGGGGAGAGGAGGGGGTGAAGGGGGAAAAACCGAACAGGGAGGTGGAGGAAGGGGCAACGGAGGAGGAATGAGCGAGAAAAGGGGAGGGATTAGCGGGGTTGGGCAGCTGGAGTGGCTGAAAGAGGCTCGAGTGGCTGACGTGATGGGGAAGACGGAGGAGACCCGCACCATGCTGGTGCTGGACCCCCATGCCACGTGAGTGAGGGCCTGGGAGGGAGGGAGGGAGGGAGGGAGGGAGGGAGGGAGGGAGGGAGGGAGGGAGGGAGGGAGGGAGGGAGGGAGGGGGAGAGAGAGAAGGGAGGGGGTTTTAGGAAGACATAGAAGCAACCTATGCTGAAAGAGGCTCGGGTGGCTGATGTGATGGGGAAGACGGAGGAGACCCGCACCATGCTCGTGCTGGACCCGCATGCCACGTGAGTGAAGGCCTGAGAGGGAGGGAGAGAGAGAGAGGGAAAAGGGCGGGGTTTTATAGGAAGACAGAAGTAACCTATGTTGAAAGAGGCTCGAGTGGGTTATGTGATGGGAAAGACGGAGGAGACCCGCACCATGCTCGTGCTGGACCCGCATGCCACGTGAGTGAAGGCCTGGGAGGAAGAGAGAGAGAGGGGTTTTATAGGAAGACAGAAGCAACCTCCCCCCACGTGTAGTGAGTCGAGTTTTGAGTCGACTCAAAACTCGAATCCAGGGGCTTCCACCTGTGCTGAGGTCTCTCCTTCCCCACGTGTGCCTGTGCAACCTCCCCCCAGAGCAGTGCTCAACAGTGCACCCCGCAGACCTTGTCTTCCCCTTCCTCTCTTTTCAGGGTACTCCTAGCCATGTAGATATGATGGGATCTCGCGGCTTCCACCGAGCCTTTGTCTGAAAAGCCTGTCCTCAAGACCGCGATCAGTGTTCGATCAGACCAGCAATGTGCCTCACACTCCCCCTCTCCTTCCTCTCTCTCGCAGGGTACTCCAAGCAATGGAGCTGCTGGGATCTCGCGGCTTCCACCGAGCCTTTGTCTGAAAAGCCTGTCCTCAAGACAACGATCAGTGTTCGATCAGACCAGCAATGTGCCTCACATTCCCCCTCTCCTTCCTCTCTCTCGCAGGGTACTCCAAGCCATGGAGCTGCTGGGATCTCGAGGCTTCCATCGAGCCCTCGTTCCCAACATGTGTCCGTGCGACCACGACCAAACCACCGCCATGCCCATGCCTGCACTGCTGCAGTCGCGCCTGGGAGGAGGAGAGGGGGGAACAGCAGGGGAGGAGTACCGAGTGCTGTCTCAGATGGACATTGCTGCCTTCATGCTCAAACACGAGGGGCTGCTGGGCTTGGCACTGGCTAAGAGGTACGCTCAAACCAGCACCATGGCTGTGCTGTGCTGTGCTGGCAAAAAAGGGGGAACAGCAGGGGAGGAGTACCGAGTGCTTTCTCAGATGGACATTGCCTCGTTTATGCTCGCACACGAGGGCCTGCTGGGCTTGGCACTGGCTAAAAGGTATGATGAAGGTCGCCGCATGCCCATGCTGGTAGTAGCTACTATCTAGAAGGTATAATCAGAGCCTGTGCTGTTGCAGTAGCAGCTAGAAAGGCTTCGGGTTTGAAAAGGAGTCTTTTGTAATTTTGTAAACAACTTTTGATTTCCTCCAAATCACAGGCCTATTAGCTCAGCTGGTTAGAGCGTCGTGCTAATAACGCGAAGGTCACAGGTTCGAGACCTGTATGGGCCACGTTTACTTGCTTCCTGCTTCTCCTTTCCTGCTTCTCCTTTCCTGCTTCTCCTTTCCTGCTTCTCCTTTTCTGCTTCTCCTTTTCTGCTTCTCCTTTCCTGCTTCTCCTTTTCTGCTTCTCCTTTCCTGCTTCTCCTTTTCTGCTTCTCCTTTTCTGCTTCTCCTTTTCTGCTTCTCCTTTTCTGCTTCTCCTTTTCTGCTTCTCCTTTTCTGCTTCTCCTTTTCTGCTTCTCCTTTTCTGCTTCTCCTTTTCTGCTTCTCCTTTTCTGCTTCTCCTTTTCTGCTTCTCCTTTTCTGCTTCTCCTTTTCTTCTTCTCCTTTTCTTCTTCTCCTTTTCTTCTTCTCCTTTTCTTCTTCTCCTTTTCTTCTTCTCCTTTTCTTCTTCTCCTTTTCTTCTTCTCCTTTTCTTCTTCTCCTTTTCTTCTTCTCCTTTTCTTCTTCTCCTTTTCTTCTTCTCCTTTTCTTCTTCTCCTTTTCTTCTTCTCCTTTTCTTCTTCTCCTTTTCTTCTTCTCCTTTTCTTCTTCTCCTTTTCTTCTTCTCCTTTTCTTCTTCTCCTTTTCTTCTTCTCCTTTTCTTCTTCTCCTTTTCTTCTTCTCCTTTTCTTCTTCTCCTTTTCTGCTTCTCCTTTTCTGCTTCTCCTTTTCTGCTTCTCCTTTTCTGCTTCTCCTTTTCTGCTTCTCCTTTTCTGCTTCTCCTTTTCTGCTTCTCCTTTTCTGCTTCTCCTTTTCTGCTTCTCCTTTTCTGCTTCTCCTTTTCTTCTTCTCCTTTTCTTCTTCTCCTTTTCTTCTTCTCCTTTTCTTCTTCTCCTTTTCTTCTTCTCCTTTTCTTCTTCTCCTTTTCTTCTTCTCCTTTTCTTCTTCTCCTTTTCTTCTTCTCCTTTTCTTCTTCTCCTTTTCTTCTTCTCCTTTTCTTCTTCTCCTTTTCTTCTTCTCCTTTTCTTCTTCTCCTTTTCTTCTTCTCCTTTTCTTCTTCTCCTTTTCTTCTTCTCCTTTTCTTCTTTTCTTCTTCTCCTTTTCTTCTTCTCCTTTTCTTCTTCTCCTTTTCTTCTTCTCCTTTTCTTCTTCTCCTTTTCTTCTTCTCCTTTTCTTCTTCTCCTTTTCTTCTTCTCCTTTTCTTCTTCTCCTTTTCTTCTTCTCCTTTTCTTCTTCTCCTTTTCTTCTTCTCCTTTTCTTCTTCTCCTTTTCTTCTTCTCCTTTTCTTCTTCTCCTTTTCTTCTTCTCCTTTTCTTCTTCTCCTTTTCTTCTTCTCCTTTTCTTCTTCTCCTTTTCTTCTTCTCCTTTTCTTCTTCTCCTTTTCTTCTTCTCCTTTTCTTCTTCTCCTTTTCTTCTTCTCCTTTTCTTCTTCTCCTTTTCTTCTTCTCCTTTTCTTCTTCTCCTTTTCTTCTTCTCCTTTTCTTCTTCTCCTTTTCTTCTTCTCCTTTTCTTCTTCTCCTTTTCTTCTTCTCCTTTTCTTCTTCTCCTTTTCTTCTTCTCCTTTTCTTCTTCTCCTTTTCTTCTTCTCCTTTTCTTCTTCTCCTTTCTTCTTCTCCTTTTCTTCTTCTCCTTTTCTGCTTCTCCTTTTCTTCTTCTCCTTTTCTGCTTCTCCTTTTCTGCTTCTCCTTTTCTGCTTCTCCTTTTCTGCTTCTCCTTTTCTGCTTCTCCTTTTCTGCTTCTCCTTTTCTGCTTCTCCTTTTCTTCTTCTCCTTTTCTTCTTCTCCTTTTCTTCTTCTCCTTTTCTTCTTCTCCTTTTCTTCTTCTCCTTTTCTTCTTCTCCTTTTCTTCTTCTCCTTTTCTTCTTCTCCTTTTCTTCTTCTCCTTTCTTCTTCTCCTTTTCTTCTTCTCCTTTTCTTCTTCTCCTTTTCTTCTTCTCCTTCCTTTTCTTCTTCTCCTTTTCTTCTTCTCCTTTTCTTCTTCTCCTTTTCTTCTTCTCCTTTTCTTCTTCTCCTTTTCTTCTTCTCCTTTTCTTCTTCTCCTTTTCTTCTTCTCCTTTTCTTCTTCTCCTTTTCTTCTTCTCCTTTTCTTCTTCTCCTTTTCTTCTTCTCCTTTTCTTCTTCTCCTTTTCTTCTTCTCCTTTTCTTCTTCTCCTTTTCTTCTTCTCCTTTTCTTCTTCTCCTTTTCTTCTTCTCCTTTTCTTCTTCTCCTTTTCTTCTTCTCCTTTTCTTCTTCTCCTTTTCTTCTTCTCCTTTTCTTCTTCTCCTTTTCTTCTTCTCCTTTTCTTCTTCTCCTTTTCTTCTTCTCCTTTTCTTCTTCTCCTTTTCTTCTTCTCCTTTTCTTCTTCTCCTTTTCTTCTTCTCCTTTTCTTCTTCTCCTTTTCTTCTTCTCCTTTTCTTCTTCTCCTTTTCTTCTTCTCCTTTTCTTCTTCTCCTTTTCTTCTTCTCCTTTTCTTCTTCTCCTTTTCTTCTTCTTCTCCTTTTCTTCTTCTCCTTTTCTTCTTCTCCTTTTCTTCTTCTCCTTTTCTGCTTCTCCTTTTCTGCTTCTCCTTTTCTGCTTCTCCTTTTCTGCTTCTCCTTTTCTTCTTCTCCTTTTCTTCTTCTCCTTTTCTTCTTCTCCTTTTCTTCTTCTCCTTTTCTTCTTCTCCTTTTCTTCTTCTCCTTTTCTTCTTCTCCTTTTCTTCTTCTCCTTTTCTTCTTCTCCTTTTCTTCTTCTCCTTTTCTTCTTCTCCTTTTCTTCTTCTCCTTTTCTTCTTCTCCTTTTCTTCTTCTCCTTTTCTTCTTCTCCTTTTCTTCTTCTCCTTTTCTTCTTCTCCTTTTCTTCTTCTCCTTTTCTTCTTCTCCTTTTCTTCTTCTCCTTTTCTTCTTCTCCTTTTCTTCTTCTCCTTTTCTTCTTCTCCTTTTCTTCTTCTCCTTTTCTTCTTCTCCTTTTCTTCTTCTCCTTTTCTTCTTCTCCTTTTCTTCTTCTCCTTTTCTTCTTCTCCTTTTCTTCTTCTCCTTTTCTTCTTCTCCTTTTCTTCTTCTCCTTTTCTTCTTCTCCTTTTCTTCTTCTCCTTTTCTTCTTCTCCTTTTCTTCTTCTCCTTTTCTTCTTCTCCTTTTCTTCTTCTCCTTTTCTTCTTCTCCTTTTCTTCTTCTCCTTTTCTTCTTCTCCTTTTCTTCTTCTCCTTTTCTTCTTCTCCTTTTCTTCTTCTCCTTTTCTTCTTCTCCTTTTCTTCTTCTCCTTTTCTTCTTCTCCTTTTCTTCTTCTCCTTTTCTTCTTCTCCTTTTCTTCTTCTCCTTTTCTTCTTCTCCTTTTCTTCTTCTCCTTTTCTTCTTCCTCTTTTCTTCTGGGGCTGACATTGGCTAAGAGGTATGATCAGACTGCCTGCCATAGCTGTGCCGCCAGGGAAGAGGAGACAGGGACGGCAGGGGAGTTTTGAGACGTTTCAAAACACGCTGTGCCGCCAGGGGAGTTTTGAGACGTTTCAAAACACACTGTGCCGCCAGGGGAGTTTTGAGACGTTTCAAAACACGCTGTGCCGCCAGGGGAGTTTTGAGACGTTTCAAAACACGCTGTACCGCCAGGGGAGTTTTGAGACGTTTCAAAACACGCTGTGCCGCCAGGGGAGTTTTGAGACGTTTCAAAACACGCTGTGCCGCCAGGGAAGAGGGGACAGGGACGGCAGGGGAGTTTTGAGACGTCTCAAAACACGCTGTGCCGCCAGGGAAGAGGGGACAGGGACGGCAGGGGAGTTTTGAGACGTCTCAAAACACGCTGTGCCGCCAGGGAAGAGGAGACAGGGACGGCAGGGGATGAAGGAGTACCGAGTACTGTCCCAGATGGACATTGCTGCGTGCATGCTGAAGCACGAGGGGCTGCTGGGCTCGGCACTGGCTATGAGGTAAGCTCAGCCCAGTACATGGCTGTGCTGCTGTAGAGGGGAGGGGGGGTCAGGGTTTAGGGGAGGAGTGCCATGTGCTATCGCAGATGGACATCGGTGCGTGTGTTCATGCATGCTCAAGCATGAAGGGCTTTTAGGCTATTTTTGAGGCGCCTCAGAAATCGTCAGGGTTTAGGGGAGGAGTGCCATGTGCTATCACAGATGGACATCGGTGCGTGCGTTCATGCTCAAGCATGAAGGGCTTTTAGGCTTGGCGCTGGCTAAGAGGTAAGCCGGATCCACATTCAATCCCATGAGGTGACTGTTGTGAGGGGCTGCTGGGAGTGGTGGGAAGGGGGGTGCGGCAGGGGAGGAGTACCAAGTGCTGTCTCAGATGGACATTGCTGCATTTATGCTCAAGCATGAGGGGCTTTTAGGCCGAGCACTTGCTAAAAGGTATGAGCAAAGCAAACCTCCACCTTTGCTGTGCTGCCAGGAAGGGGGCATGGCCGGGGAGGAGTACCGAGTGCTGTCTCAGATGGACATTGCTGCGTTCATGCTCAAGCATGAGGGACAGCTGGGCTTGGCACTGGCTACGAGGAACGCTCAGCCCACTCGTCTGTGCTGCTGCGGAGGAGAGGGGGGAACAACAGGAGAGGAGTACCGGGTGCTGTCTCAGATGGGCATTGCTGTGTTCATGCTCAAGCACGAGGGGCTGCTGGGGCTGGCACTGGCTAAGAGGCGCATTGAGAGTGTCACATTCAGGCCTGTCACATGCTGCTTCTGTGAGGGGATGCTGGGCCTCTCAAAACCTGGCCAAGTTAAGATGAAACCACCGCCAGGCTTTAGTAGTGCCTCAGTCAATGCAGTGACAGCTGTCAGGCTACATCGCATCCGATAAATATTGCAGAAATCTGCAATCAGGCCTATTAGCTCAGCTGGTTAGAGCGTCGTGCTAATAACGCGTAGGTCACAGGTTCGATACATGTATGGGCCAGTTTTTCCTCCTCCGTGAGCTTGTTCTGAACTGGGGTCTCTGCTTCTTTCCTCTCGCACTCTCGCGCTTTTTGTCATTGATGTGTGCAGCATAGACGACATTGGGCTGATCTGGCCGTCTGTCGTCTCGGTGACTCCATCCACTCGTCTTCTAGACGCATTCAACATGTTTCTTTTCTCTCTCGTTCTCGTTTTCTTCCCCTCTCATCCCTGCATTGCAGCATCGATGACATCGGGCTGGTCTGGCCGTCAGTGGTCGCTGTGACTCCATCCACTCCTCTTCTGAACGCATTCAACATATTCCTTTTCTCTCTCGTTCTCGTTCTCGTTCTCGTTTTCTTCCCCTCTCATCCCTGCATTGCAGCATCGATGACATCGGGCTGGTCTGGCCGTCAGTGGTCGCTGTGACTCCATCCACTCCTCTTCTGAACGCATTCAACATATTCCTTTTCTCTCTCGTTCTCGTTCTCGTTCTCGTTTTCTTCCCCTCTCATCCCTGCATTGCAGCATCGATGACATCGGGCTGGTCTGGCCGTCAGTGGTCGCTGTGACTCCATCCACTCCTCTTCTGAACGCATTCAACATATTCCTTTTCTCTCTCGTTCTCGTTCTCGTTTTCTTCCCCTCTCATCCCTGCATTGCAGCATCGATGACATCGGGCTGGTCTGGCCGTCTGTGGTCTCCGTGACTCCATCCACTCCTCTTTTAGACGCCTTCAACATGTTCCGAATCAGAGGGGTGAGTGCATGTCTTAGTGGCTGCAAAGAGGCTGCAAGCAGTAGAGGAACTTAGTGGGTGTGCGCTTATTTTTTTCTCTCTGTGACTCCATCCTCTCCTCTTTTAGACGCCTTCAACATGTTCCGAATCAGAGGGGTGAGTGCATGTCTTAGTGGCTGCAAAGAGGCTGCAAGCAGTAGAGGAACTTAGTGGGTGTGCGCTTATTTTTTTCTCTCTGTGACTCCATCCTCTCCTCTTTTAGACGCCTTCAACATGTTCCGAATCAGAGGGGTGAGTGCATGTCTTAGTGGCTGCAAAGAGGCTGCAAGCAGTAGAGGAACTTAGTGGGTGTGCGCTTATTTTTTTCCGAATCCGAGGGGTGAGTGAGGAGCGCATGCCTCAAGCTAGTGTTGGCCATTGACATGCCAATGGTTGCAAATCGGCAATCAATCATTGATGCATCTCCATCCACCCCTCTGCTGCACGCAACATGTCTAGTTTTGAGGCGCCTCAGAACTGAACTTGGCAATCAGGTGACTTTTGAGTCGACTCAAAAGTCACCTCAATTATTTATGCATCTACATCCACCCCTCTGCTGCACGCAACATGTTTCATCTCATAAAGTGGGTGTATTCAGCATTCACCGTACCCAATTCAACTCAGACTAACCAAACTTGAACGTCCTATTGATTCGGGTCTTGAAATGCCAGGGTCTCAGACTTGCTCACTCACCACTCACCCCCTGCATACTTGTACAGGTACGTGCAGTGACGGTCCATTGATTTGCAATGGACTGGTACGTCCATTGATTTGCAATGGACTGGTAGGTCCACTGATTTGCAATGGACTGGTAGGTCCATTGATTTGCAATGGACTGGTAGGTCCATTGATTTGCAATGGACTGGTAGGTCCATTGATTTGCAATGGACTGGTAGGTCCATTGATTTGCAATGGACTGGTAGGTCCATTGATTTGCAATGGACTGGTAGGTCCATTGATTTGCAATGGACTGGTAGGTCCATTGATTTGCAATGGACTGGTAGGTCCATTGATTTGCAATGGACTGGTAGGTCCATTGATTTGCAATGGACTGGTAGGTCCATTGATTTGCAATGGACTGGTAGGTCCATTGATTTGCAATGGACTGGTAGGTCCATTGATTTGCAATGGACTGGTAGGTCCATTGATTTGCAATGGACTGGTAGGTCCATTGATTTGCAATGGACTGGTAGGTCCATTGATTTGCAATGGACTGGTAGGTCCATTGATTTGCAATGGACTGGTAGGTCCATTGATTTGCAATGGACTGGTAGGTCCATTGATTTGCAATGGACTGGTAGGTCCATTGATTTGCAATGGACTGGTAGGTCTTGATTTGCAATGGACTGGTAGGTCCATTTGTACCAGTCCATTGCAAATCAGGTAGCGTTTGATTTTCTTGGTCTCTCGACATCCTACTCGTTCACGCCCTTTTATCCCTCACCCACCCCACCCTCCCCACACAGCCCTTTACCCACCCAACCCTCCCCACACAGCCCTTTACCCACCCCACCCTCCCCACACAGACGAGGTCCGACCGACGCGTCTCAGAACTCATCAATTAGGGTGCCACGTGTAGATAAGTGATTTTTGAGACGTCTCAAAAATCCCCACACAGACGAGGTCCGAGGCGTCTCAAAACTCGTTGATTAGGGTGCCTGTGACTCCATCCACATTCCTTCCCAGTTCTGCAGCCTGCCAGTCTTTTCCCCCCAGGACCCCACCCCACCTGACCCTCACCTACCCAACCCCACCCATGTCAACCCATCTCCGCCCATCACCACCCCTCTGAACCCCAACAGATAAGCGCAGTAGCAGTGTTGCAGCCTAAGCCAGCTCCGCCAGCATTTGTGGTGGAGGAGGGGGGGGTAGGGGAGCAGTGCCAGTGCTGCAGCCTTTGATCCTCCACCTGCCACCCCACCCACCCATCCCCACCCCTCTCAACACCTGCAGATAAGCGCAGTAGCAGTGGTGCAGCCTAAGCCAGCTCCGCCAGCAGTCGTGGTGGAAGAGGGGGGTGGGGACTCAAAGGACGAGGAGGGGGGGACTGAGAAGACGAAGGAAGCTTCTGTTGTGCTTCCCCAGTGGCCCATGGGGGGATGCGGCAGTGTGCTGACAGGCACTCTGTCAGCATCGGACGTCAAGCAGGTGTGTGTGTGTGTGTCAGACCATGCATGCAAGGGTGCATGGTTGAATGAGCGCGCGTGTGTGTGTGTATCTTTAAGGCACCCTCAGTGGCCCATGGGGGGATGCGGCAGTGTGCTGATGGGCACTCTGTCAGCATCAGATGTCAAGCAGGTGTGTTGTCATGCGTGCATGGTGGCATGGTGGCATGGTGGCATGGTGGCATGATGGCATGGTGGCATGGTGGCATGGTGGCATGGTGGCATGATGGCATGGTGGCATGGTGGCATGGTGGCATGGTGGCATGGTGGCATGATGGCATGGTGGCATGGTGGCATGGTGGTATGGTCATGTGTGTGTGTGTGAGAGTGCGTTTATCCACCCCAGGTGGCTTACAGCTTTTGCTCTGTTCTCCTCGTTTTGGCAGGTGGATGTTGGTACTCTGCTCTCCCTCGCGCCCACCACCACCGTAGCTGATTTCCTCTCGGCCAAACAGAAGGCAGCCGGAAATGCAGCAGCGGAGAAGCAAGCACCTGCTGTAGCAGTGACGCCAGCAGCTGTAGCAGTGATGCCAGCAGCTGTAGCAGTGACGTCAGCAGCTGTAGCAGTGACGCCAGCAGCTGTAGCAGTGACGCCGGCAGCTGTAGCAGTGACGCCGGAAGCTGTAGCAGTGACACTAGCAGCTGCAGCAGTGACGTCAGCAGCTGTGGCAGTGACAGCAGCTGTAGCAGTGACGCCAGCAGCTGTAGCAGTGACGTCAGCAGCTGTAGCAGTGACGCCAGCAGCTGTAGCAGAAGTGGTGACATGCACCAGGTGTGTATGTGTGGCAGATGGGAAGGGGAAAGAATGGGTTCTGATCCTATTTATAAGGCACCTCATTCTTGAGACGAATTTTGAGGCGCATCACATAAGGGTGGTCTGACCACCGCCCTTTTAACCGCTCAACCCATCCACACCCCTCTGCACTTCCCCTCTTCCCTGTCCCCCTTTGTCCAGCGCCTCTTCTCTGCGTCATGTGCTTTCCCTGCTAGTCAACCACCGAGTATGGGTGGTCAAACTCCATCCGTCCTGCCTCATACACTCTCTCGCTCCGGCTCACCTGCTCCCCTCTCCCTTTTCCCCTCTCCACACCCCGACACAGTGCCTCTTCTCTGCGCCATGTGCTCTCCCTGCTAGTCTCCCACCATGTGCATCGAGTCTGGGTGGTCAAACCCCCTCCAGTCCACCCCCTCCCTCCTCCTCCTCCCCCTCCCAATAACGAATCACCTTCTAACGAGGCAGCTTCTTACGAGGACACAGCACCCATCACCGAAACTCCACAAGTATCATCTCCCAGCAAGCCCCCCTCAAGTCCAAGTCTGCCCTGTTCCGGGCCTGTGCTTGAAGGCGTTGTGACTATAACAGACGTGCTCCGAACCATGCGAGTGCTCCCGAACCTGCACCCATGGTCCGAGGACAGCGACCCCGTGCTTATAAAGAGGGGAGGCGGAAAAGGAGAATCCGGCAACAGCAGCAGTGGCACTACACGTGGCCGTGCTGGTGACAGCAGCAACAGCCGTGGTAACCGTAACAGCAGCAGTGGCGACGTGGGGTTACCAGGTGCTGACAGCAGGTTTGGGCGCAGTGCGAGCAGTAAGGTGACTGGTGCTAGGCGCTGGAATCCAAACATCTCCCTCTCTATTGATGTGAACACGTGGCTTGGGACCAGCTCTGGTGGACGGGCAAGAGGAGGAACAGCAGCAGCAGCAGGAGGAGGAAGTGGTGGTAGTGATGGTGGTGCTGGCGGCGGCGGCGGCGGCGGTGGTGGTGGTAGTGTTGGTGGTGGGGGGGAAGGGGAGGTTGTGGGCGCAGAAGGTGAAGGAGGGGAGGAGGAGGAGGGTGACGATTGGTCGGTGACATCGATGACAAGTGATGATGATGCTGATGTGGCAGGACCTGCTACCGTAACGGGGACTTCAGGGTCGAGTTTTGACTCGTATTATTGGCTGGACTGGTGGCCTGAGAAGCCGGCCTTAGCATGACACTTATCAAAGGTCAGAATGCTTTGTGCATATTTAATGAACAATATTATTTTTCCACCACTTTATTTTCTGCCTTTGCGATGTAGCATGTTGAATCGTAGTTTTGCGATGACAATACCATTTAGCTTCTTGACGTTGGTGATGTATTACTAGAAATATCATTATACACATTCAAGTCCTAATTTCGAAGGATTATATGTAGGCAGGCTAAAAGATTAGATCAGGACACATTGAGCTTTTGAGGACATCTGAAGAGAGTTGAGGGGAATGCAAGCAGCTCATGTATAGAGCTTCTCTGGACCATCAGTACATTGCGTACACTTCAAGAGAGTTCACGGTCTTCGTTATAGACGATCTGTAACGGAGCAGCCTGTTCAGGATAGTTGGTTTTTTTCCTCACGACGATTCAACTTCCACCCATTTTTGGCTTTATTAGAGCGGAGATGAAACGGCTTGAATATCGCAAATTCCCCCTAGCGTACTACATCCTCTGCTGAAGGGCTTCGGAAGGAGATGAAACGGCTTCCTCTGCTGTGGGAACAATAAATCAGATCGCGGTTCCCACGATCGAAGGCATGCCACGTGGCGAAAATAAAACGAACCGCGATTCCGCGGAATTGAGCAAAACTCTCCCCTGGATATCTCCAGCTATGGAGGAACTCTCCTCTGAACCCGAGACTTATTTTAGGTGCGACTCTAGAGTATTTTCGAGTTAGTGCCGGTTCGTCTCCCAAACCGTCTTTGCGCCGCAGCCGATGTAGCGCGAGCTGTGCTCTTCGGCGGAACCTCACGCGCGCAAAGAATGCAGCGTGATGATTGCGCTTTACGCCAGTCCTTGCCGCGAATGTGCGGTTATTGGTAGCAAGCAAATCTGCGTCGCGGTTTCATCCGCAGAATCAAGCACGAGTCGCGAAGGAGACAAGCGCGACCAGCGGAGAGTCCGTGAAACAGATTGATTCGGCGATACCGAGGAGGAGTCAAGCAGGCAAGCAGACAACAAGAAAGCAGGCAAGCAGCATTGCAGCAGGGACTTACGAACTGCCGCGTCGCGTCGCCACTTGACGAAATACAAGAAAGGTCCCGGGAATCTGGCGAACAAGCGAGCAGCGGTTTCCACGCGTTTCAGCAGGTATCGATAGGGCCGTTTCATCTTCTCACGTGAATCTAAGTTACGAAAAACTCACGCGAAAATCCGATGCCGCGGTTGGGGATTGCGGATTGAACGCCTCGCGGCGCGACTCGATAGGGCCGTTTCATCTCCTCTCAAGAGCCCGCATCACGCGCTAGTACACGTACGGCTTCTTCGCGTACATTGACATGTGGTCGCGCGAGACGAGACGAATGCAACCATTCACTCTGTGCATACCCACTCTCAACTCAACCACCGACGAGTCAACGCTGTGCAGTAGATTCATAGGCTCCAAACCAGAAAGGATCTGCAGTAAGGTTATTCGCTACATCGGCAGCGTTCGCGGCTCGGGAACGCGAGGCTGTCGAGTCGAACCTCCTGGTGCAGCGGCAACAGCAGTGCTGCGACCCGAATCGCGTGAAACAGCTCGTTTCAAACAGCTTCTAGCGGCGCACTCCGCGCGGCGAGGGGCTAAGAGTCGCAGGGGAGGAAAGGGGAGGGAGGAAGGGGAGGGGGGGAAAGGGGAGGGGGGGAAAGGTGAAGAGCTGAAGCAGGCGCGTTTACAGGGCACGGCGAGAGACACGGGGAAAGAAGATGTACAGTTACTGGGAGCAGGAGAGGTTAGGAGGAGGAGAGGTTACTGATAGGGCACAATAGCGGATGACGGGAAAAGCAACTCGCACCGTCCTCGGAGGGAGAGGTTACTAGGAGAAAAAGAGGTCATAGGGGCAGACCACCGTACAACGGCTGCCAGACCGCGTTGCGAGGGGAGCAAGGGGTACTTAATCCTTCCAGCAGCGCGCCATTTCAGGTCGTCGCCGCAGCAGCAGTCGTTTTCAGCTGGAGGCCCGCAGTAACGTCTGTCAGTAAGAGCGTGAGGGTCACGGGAAGCATCACGGGAAGCACTTAGAAGCTATTGCACTTACCTGTTTGGCTATTCTTAGTCGGAGTTTCACCACAAGGGCCGTTTCAGTTGGCCTTTCCCGTAGGCCATTTCAGAGAAGCGTTCTGTTGAAAAGATCTGAGGGCCTGAGGGTTGTCTGTACGTCCTCAAAGTGCTCTGCTCCGCAACGTGGGGTTTCCCACCCCACCACTAATTTAATCTCCGCGTGCAACGGTCTAGAACGTCATGGCGACTGCCGGATGCCGCCGCAAGTTAATCTCCACCATGCCTCTATCTCCCCTGCTCCTCCTCCTGCTGCTATCCCTCGCTCCCTCCGCCTTCCCCGCTGCGTCCGCCGCCACCGCTGCTGCTGGTGCCGATGCTGCCGGTACTGCTGATAATGGTGCCAGTTCCGCTGGTATCGGCTTCGGGTTTGTCAACGATCTCACCCTTCCCTCCTCCTCCGCGCTGTACGGCGCCCAGGACGGGCGCTCACTCTCAGGCAGCCACGTGGCACGACGCCACAGGTCGCTGCAGGACCAGCCAACGGCCGTCCCGCCGCCCAGCACAGGCAAAGACGCTCCCGCCACCAACGGACCTGCCATTAACTCACCTGTCAACTCACCTTCTGTTAACTCACCTTCCATTGGCTTACCGGCCATTCGCTCACCACCCTCCGCGCCTGCTCCTCCCGTCCCTGCTAATTCACCCCCTGTTGATCCGGGAACGGACGAAAACGGCAACCCGGTGAAACCGGGGGAGGTGGCGTTTCAGCGGAACGTTCCGCCGTCCCCGCCGCCCCCACCGCCGCCCCCTCCGGTCGTCTCTTTCATGCAAGGCACCTACATCAACTGCGGCAGCAACGAATCGCTCAAGAACCCGCTGTACACCTGGGAGGCGGATCCCTTTTCGGGCAGGTTCGGGAGGAGTTTCCGGGCAGGCGTGATCAAGACGACGATGAATCGGACGGTGGCGGCGGGCAGGATGGGGAATGGGAAGGTTGAGTTTAGAGAGACTGGGTTGCTGAAGACGCCCCCAGGGGTGGATGCGCGGGTGTTTGAGACAGTGCGGTTCTTTAATGACCTCGCCCCCAACGTTTCTACTTACACAATTCCGGTGAGTGCTGGCTGGAAGGGTGGCAGGATGGGGTATGGCAGGATGGGAAAGGGGAAGGTGGAGTTTAGCGAGACGGGGGTGCTGAAGACGCCGCCTGGGGTGGATGCGCGGGTGTTTGAGACAGTGCGGTTTTTTAATGACCTCGCCCCCAACGTCTCCACTTACACAATCCCGGTGAGTGCTGACTGGTTGTCGGTTGGAGGCTGGTCTGGTTGCTGTGGGGTATGATAAGGTGGGGGTGGATGCGAGGGTGTTTGAGACGGTGCAGTTCTTTAATGACCTCGCTCCCAACGTCTCTACTTACACAATCCCGGTGAGTGCCGTGCTGTGCTGACTGGATGCCTGCCTGGGGCTGGTCTGGTTGCTGCACGCACGCTCTCTCTGTACTTTGCTGAGATCGTGTGCACGACAGCCAAGCTGTGCCGCTTTCAAACAACGCTAATGCAAACGCCTCATCCCACCCCCACCCTCTCTGCACTGCAGGTCCCCGGCCCTCCCACCAACGTGTTTGTCCGCCTGTACTTTGCTGAGATCATCTACACGACAGCCAAGCTGCGGCGCTTCCACGTGGCAGTGGAGGGCGCGCCCGTGCTGACCAACTACAGCGTGCCACGTGGCACTGTGCGAGTGGAGGAGTTCGTTGTGCCCGTTCTGGACGGCTCTGTGGACATTGCGTTCATCCGGGGGGAGATTGGCGAGCCCATGATCAGCGCCATTGCGGTGAGTTCTGCACCGCACAGCACCTCATAGTACCGCACAGCACCGCAGTGCAACTCGCAGAACCGCACAGCAGTTTCTGTGCTGGACGGTTCTGTGGATATGTGTTCATCGGGGGTGAGATGGTGAGCCCATGATCAGCGCTATTGCGGTAAGTTCTGCACTGCACACCACCACACAGCACCTCAGGGTATCCCACTGTGCGAGTGGAGGAGTTCGTTGTGCCTGTGCTGGACGGTTCCGTGGATATTGCGCTTATCCGGGGAGAGAGTGGCGAGCCCATGATCAGTGCCATAGCTGTGAGTACCGCACACCACAGCCCAGCACTGCACTGCACCGCACACGAGCTTCTGTGCTGGACGGTTCTGTGGACTGGAAATTGCGTTTATTCGGGGGGAGATTGGCAAGCCCATGATCAGCGCCATCGCGGTGAGTTCTGCACCGCACTGCATCTCTCAGAATCGCACAGAAGCTACCGTGCTGGACGGCTCTGTGGACATTGCGTTCATCCGGGGAAGATTAGCGAACCCATGATCAGCACCAACCCTCCACGTCTCCACGCAACCCACATATCCCCCCTCTGCCTGCCTCTCTGCCTCCCTCTCTGCCTGCCTCTCTGCCTGCCTCTCTGCCTCCCTCTCTGCCTCCCTCTCTGCCTGCCTCTCTGCCTGCCTCTCTGCCTCCCTCTCTGCCTCCCTCTCTGCCTGCCTCTCTGCCATCCCCTCCCCCTACAGGTGGTCCTGCTCACATCTGCCATGTACAACCTCTCTGCCCCCACTGCCACATCTCACCCATTGGCTGCTCAACTCTACTCATATGTCCCCCTCTACCTCCCTCACTCCTCCCTCTCCCTCCCCTACAGGTGGTGCCACTCACAGCCGGCATGTACAACCTCTCTGCCCCCACTGCCACATCGCGCATCATGGGTACGTCCCTTGCTTGCCTGTCTCCCTGGGTGTGATGAGTCGATTTTTTAGTCCGACTCAAAACCCCACTGCCACATCGCGCATCATGGGTACGTCCGTCGCTTGCCTGTCCCCCTGGTATCTCTGCCTCTTTCCTGAATCCCCGCACCCTCCCCTGCCCCCTTCCAGCCACGGACTATCGCTTCGGCTGCGGTCTCTTCCTCCCGATCACCGACCTCACTCAGAGGATTTGGAACCTGCTACCCTCTGAGGTCTACACGCCCAAGGACCCCGGGTCACGGCGCTACAACAAAACCGAGTCAGCGGCCCTCACGTGGCCGCAGACTGCTGACAACGCCGACAAGCCGCCCTTCATGTTCCCCCTCGACCTCACCACGGTGAGCTTCCCTACACCTTTACCCCTAAGCCCCTGTACGTACTGCTGAGAATGTGTTCGGGAGAGAAGGGAAGGGCGTGGGCAGTGGGCAGCAGTCACGGCGCTACAACAGAACCGAATCAGCCACCCTCACGTGGCCGCAGACTGCTGACAACGCCGACAACCCGCCCTTCATGTTCCCGCTCGACCTCACCACGGTGAGCCCCTGCTGCTGTGCTGACTTACCCCTAACTGTGAGTTCTCTGGCTGCACACGTGACAACAACTTGACCTGTGTGTCTCTGTGTCTCTCCCATCCCTTCCTCTACAGGCGGGTCTGCACTCAGTCGAGTATTCGAGCTATGCGGGCTACAACCACAACACCTTCCTTCTCCCTGTTGTTCCCCCTGCCATTCCCCCTGCCTTTTCCCCTGCCATTCCCCTTCCTCACCCCAATTCTCCCTTCCAGGCGGGGCTACACTCAGTTGAGCATTCCAGCTATGCGGGCTACAACAACAACGTCTCCCTCTCTATTGTTCCGCCTGCCATTCTTCCTTCCTCAACCCATTTCCTTCCCCCTTCTAGGCGGGTCTACATTCAGTGGAGTATTCGAGCTATGCGGGCTACAACGACAACACCTTCCTCAACTTCTCCCTCAAAACCACTCCCTTGTTTCTCACCGTTGCTCTGCATCCTTCCTTCCCTCTGCTGTCACTCCATCCCTCCACAGGCGGGGTTGCACTCAGTAGAGTATTCCAGCTACGCGGGCTACAACGACAACACCTTCCTCAACTTCTCCCTCCCCGTCGACCCCAACACCGCCTACCGCATCGAACTTGGATTTGAGGAGCTCTGGTACTACTACGTGAGTGCCCTCTCCCCACTTGCTCTCGTTCTCGCACTTCCCCTCTCCCGCTTGCTCCTCCTCTTGCAATTCCTCTCACCTGCTTGTTCTCCCCGCTCTTACCCTCCCCCCGTTGACCCCAACACCGCCTACCGCATCGACCTTGGCTTTGAGGAGCTCTGGTACTACTACGTGAGTGCCTTGTCCCCTCTTGCCTGTTACCACTGCCTTTGAGGCTGTTACCGCTGCCTGCCTGAAAGGACTACACCATACTACGCTCACTGTTTCGTGCTTTTTCTTCTTCTTCTTCTTCTTCTGCTTCTTCTTCTTCTTCTTCTTCTTCATTTTCACCCACCCCCTTCCTTCCACATTTTTCACGTTTCTCCGCTGCGCCGTCCATGCACAGACCGCTCGTCTGCTGGACGTCTATGTGGACGGCGAGCTGATGATCAAGGAGCTGGATCTTGCACCCATTCTCCCCCCCCCCCCCCCTCCCCCCAACATGCAGACCGCCCGTCTGTTGGACATCTATGTGGACAACGAGCTCATGGTCAAGGAGCTTGATCTGTGGCTTACCTCTTCAATCCACCCCTTTCCCCTCCCCCACACTGGCAGACCGCGCGTCTGTTGGACATCTATGTGGACAGCGAGCTGATGGTCAAGGAGCTTGATCTGGCCACTGTGGCGGGTGTTGGTGTGCCCTTTGTCGTCACACTCAAGGGTCAGTCAGTCAGTTAGTTTGCCTCCTCAGTAGTCAGTCAGTCGTTCAGCCAGTCGGTCAGCCAGTCAGTTGTCAGAGATCAGTCAGTCCCCTATACCTCACTAGACTAAGGAGCTTGATCTGGCCACTGTGGCGGGCGTTGGCGTGCCCTACACCGCCACCCTCAAGGGTCAGTCCTTCTCTCTCCCTTTTTTTTTGTTTTGTTTTGTTTTTTTTTTTTTTGCTGAATACTGCTGAAAATAGATTCATGGTTCCAGAAATTTGCCCCTGAACATTTTCCTCTGACTTTCAACCCCCCCCCCCCCTCCCCTCCCCTCTCCCCACTCTCCTTGCCCACCCCCGACCTCCTCTTCTCTTCCTCTCTCCTGCCCACTCGTTCCCCCTTCCGTATCAACAGCTGTCTCGGGTCCTTCAGGCTTCATGAACATTTTTCTTCAACACCTCCACCAACTCAATGCTCTCCCACTCCCCGTTCCCCCTCCCTTCTCCCCTTCCCCATCTCACTCTACCAGCTGTCTCGGGTCCTTCAGGCTTCATGAACATTTTTCTCAACACCTCCACCAACTCCCTTCACAAGTGAGAGCCTCGAGATCCTGCCGCCTCTTTTCACACGCTGCCAGTAATCCTCTGTTTTGTTGAAATCACTTCTGAGGATTCTCATCGACCCCCGCCCCGCCCTCCCCCTTGACTTTTGAGTCGACTCGCTGCCAATAATCACCTCTCTTCCAGCAGCAACGTGTTTCGTCAGCACGCTTGGGCTCTTCCGAGTCATTCCCACCGACCCAACTCAAATCCCCCTCCCTACCTACCAACCTCCCCCTCGCCCTCCCCCTTCATCCAACAGCAACGTGTTCATAAGCACGCTAGAGCTTTTCCGAGTGATCCCCATCGACCCCACCAACCAGGCTGCTCTCCTCTCTGCCGCCAAGCCTCTCCCTCCGCCCGCTCCCTTCGCTGCTGCTGACACCACCGCCGCTTCTGCCTCATCCCAGTCCTCCTCTGCTGTAAGTCTCTCATTAGGGATTTCCACTGTATCCTCTCACTCCCTCTAGCACTCCTCTCTGCTGCCAAGCCGCTCCCTCCGCCCGCTCCCTTCGCTGCTGCTGACACCACCGCCGCTCCTGCCTCATCCTAGTCGTCCTCTGCTGTAAGTTTTACCTGCTTCTTTCGGTTTCTGTAGTTCCCCTTGCTGCTGCTGCTCGCCCCGCTCCCTCCTCCCGCTCCCTTCGCTGCTGCTGACACCACCTCTCCTCGCACCTCCTCTTCATCCTCCTCTGTTTGTTTGTTTGTTTGTTTCCCTCCTCCAATCACTGCCCTCGTCCACTTTCTTGTCCTTCCCACCTTCTCCCCCCCTCCTCTCCCCACTTTCTCGCCTCTTCTCCTCCTCACAATCACACCATCTGGCTCCTCCTCCACTCCCACAGGCGTTTGGCATAGGCATAGTGGTGGGCATGGGGATCATTCTCCTCCTCCACTCCCACAGGCGTTTGGCATAGGCATAGTGGTGGGCATGGGGATCATTCTCCTCCTCCACTCCCACAGGCGTTTGGCATAGGCATAGTGGTGGGCATGGGGATCATTCTCCTCCTCCACTCCCACAGGCGTTTGGCATAGGCATAGTGGTGGGCATGGGGATCATTCTCCTCCTCCACTCCCACAGGCGTTTGGCATAGGCATAGTGGTGGGCATGGGGATCATTCTCCTCCTCCTCCTCGCCTCTTGAGCCAACTCTAAACACACCACCATCCTCCCCCTCCCTCCTCTCCCCTCCTCCCCTCCCACAGGCGCTAGGCGTAGGCATAGCGGTGGGCATGGGGATCATTCTCCTCCTCCTCGCCTCGCTCGCCACCTGCATCGTTCTCAGAGCTCACTACCGCAACAGGCAGGCACGCATTGCAGCAGCGGCCGCAGCAGCAGCAGAAGCAGAGGCAGGCTACTACGACGGCACTTCTTCAGCCAAGTCCAAGAGCGGCTCTGGTGGTGCTGCTGGCGGTGGCGGTGCTTTCTCCGACAGTGGAATCCTGGCTCTCATCTCGGGCAAATTCGGCTCCTCTGCAGAAGGTCAGTCAGTGCAGCATTCTGTAGGCCTTTTTTTTTTTTTTTTTTTTCCCCGAAGTGCCAAAACCTGTCTATTTGGAGCGCGCATATTCACCCTCGCTGAGCTGTAAATCCCAACCAACTGACTGACTGACCCCCTCCTTCCCCCTTCCCATTTCTCGCCCCATCACACCAGACGACAAGCACAAGGCGTTCAAGAATCTCGACGCCGAAGCCACGGCCAAGACTGGTCTCTTTGGAGCGCGCATATTCACCCTCGCTGACCTCCACACCCTCACCCGTGGTTGTCCTCCCTCCCCCTCCCCTTTCTCTCGATGTTAAGCAGACGACACGCACAAGACGTTCAAGAACCTTCTATTGAAGCCACAGCCAAGACCAGCCTCTTTGGAGCGTGCATCTTCACCCTCGCTGAGCTCCGCCGAGCCACCGACGATTCTTGACCCGACCCCCGGAGCCTCAAGCACCCTCTTTCCTTGCTTTGCCCATCCCCTTTCCCCCCCACTTCCTGCTCTCCTCCTCCACTTTCCCACCCAAAACACGAGACGACAAGTTCAAAGCGTTCAAGAATCTCGATGCCAAAACCACGGCCGAGACCGGTCTCTTTGGAGCGTGCATCTTCACCCTCGCTGAGCTCCGCCGAGCCACCGACGATTCTTGACCCGACCCCCGGAGCCTCAAGCACCCTCTTTCCTTGCTTTGCCCATCCCCTTTCCCCCCCACTTCCTGCTCTCCTCCTCCACTTCCCCACCCAAAACACCAGACGAAACCACGGCCGAGACCGATCTCTTTGGAGTGTGCATCTTCACCCTCGCGTAGCTGAGCTCCGCCGAGCCACCCCTGTCCTTGAGCCATAAACCGTCCCTTGCAAGCATCCCCTTTCTCTTGCTCTCCTCCTCCCCTTTTCCGTCGTTCTCCCCCTCCCCCACCCCCTACCCCCAATACACCAGACGACAAGCACAAGGCATTCAAGAACCTGGACGCCGAAGCCACGGCCAAGTCCGGCCTCTTTGGAGCGCGCATCTTCTCCCTCGCTGAGCTCGTGTGCTTGCTCTGCCCCTCACCCTTCCTCTTCCCATCACACCAGCCGACAAGCACAAGGCGTTCAAGAATCTCGATGCCGAAGCCACAGCCAAGACCGGCCTCTTTGGAGCGCGCATCTTCTCCCTCGCTGAGCTCGTGTGCTTGCTCTGCCCCTCACCCTTCCTCTTCCCATCACACCAGACGACAAGCACAAGGCGTTCAAGAATCTCGATGCCGAAGCCACAGCCAAGACCGGCCTCTTTGGAGCGCGCATCTTCTCCCTCGCTGAGCTCCGCCGAGCCACCGACGATTTCGCCCCGGGGAACCTCATCGGGCAGGGCGGGTTCGGCAAGGTCTACCGAGCCACACTCGGAGGCTCGGCACGCGATGACAGCGACGCCGAAGGCTCGGCGCCCGCCGTGCCTGGGTTCGAGGTCGCGGTGAAGAGGCTCGGGTCGGGGTCGCAGCAGGGGGCTTCTGAATTTCTGACTGAAGTGCAGCTGCTGAGCCGGCTGCATCATAAGAACCTGGTGAACCTGATAGGGTACTGCGATGAGGACCCCAACCAGCTGATCCTGGTGTATGAGTATGCTCCCAATGGGACACTCAAGGACTATCTCAGAGGTGCGTTTGTGTGTGGTCGGATGCTGTCTCATTTCTGCGCTTGTGATCTGAGTAGAGGGGTCCGGGTCGCAGCAGGGGGCTTTTGATTTTCTGACTGAAGTATAGCTGCTGAGCCAGCTGCATCATAATAAGAACCTGGTGAACCTGATTGGGTACTGCGCTGATGACCCGAATCATCTCATTCTGGTGTATGAGTATGCTCCCAACGGCACCCTCAAGGACTACCTCAGAGGTGCGTGTGTGGTGAGGTTTCCTCTTTACCCCCTGGGGCACCCTCACTGAGGTGCAGCTGCTGAGCTGGCTTTATCATGGGACTCACAAGGACTACCTCCGAGGTACATGCGTGGTGGTGCTGCTGCTGCTGCTCTCTTAGTTGTGTGCACTGTGAGTTGATTGAGGGTTCCTTCAACCTGATAGGGTACTCCGATGAGGACCCCAACCAGCTCATCCTGGTGTATGAGTATGCTCCTAATGGGACTCTTAAGGACTGCCTCCGAGATACGTGCTGTGCTCGTCGTGGTGGTATTGCTGCTCTCTCGGTCCTGTGCACTGTAATTTCTGGGTCCTCCAGTCCAAACCTGATAGGGTACTGCAATGAATATGCTCCTAATGGGACTACCTCCGAGGTATGTTCTCTCATCCCTGTTGACTCTTAAGGGTTCCATAGACCTGATAGGGTACTTATCCCGTACTTCTGTCTACCCCCATTCTTCCCAAACACACACCTACAGACGTGGTGCGCGTGAAATCGCTCTCCTGGGAGCGTCGGCTGCGCATCGCCACCACGTCCGCCAAGGGCATTGAGTACCTTCACAACGGCGCCTCTCCTTCGGTTATCCACCGGTGAGTGGTAGCATCCGAATGTGTCGCATGCGCTCGCATAACGTCCGCCAAGGGCATTGAGTACCTTCACAACGGCGCCTCTCCTTCGGTCATCCACCGGTGAGTGGTGGCATCTGATTGCGTCGCAAGCGCTCGCATCACGTCCGCCAAGGGCATTGAGTACCTTCACAACAGCGCCTCTCCCTCAGTCATACACCGGTGAGCTTACTTGCTGTGTCCTTGCTCCACCCCTATCCCACCGATATTTACCCATCTCAACCCATCTCAACCCCTCTGCACCCCTCGCAGTGACATCAAGACGTCCAACATTTTGCTCGACTATGCCTTCAACGCCAAGGTCGCTGACTTTGGTCTCTCCAAGCTCGGCAAGAAGGCCCCTGCCACCATCGGCATGGGCGTGGAGGAGAAATCATATATGAGCCACATCAGCACGCGCGTCAAGGGCACTCTCGGTGAGTCTAGCTTGGGCAGTAATATTGTCTCTCCAAGCTCGGCAAGGAAACCCCTGCCACCATCGGCATGGGCGTGGAGGAGAAATCAGATATGAGCCACATCAGCACTCGCGTCAAGGGCACTCTCGGTGAGTCTAGCTTGGGCAGTAATATTGTCTCTCCAAGCTCGGCAAGGAAACCCCTGCCACCATCGGCATGGGCGTGGAGGAGAAATCAGATATGAGCCACATCAGCGCGCGTGCAAGGGCACTCTCGGTGAGTCTAGCTTGGGCAGTAATATTGTCTCTCCAAGCTCGGCAAGGAAACCCCTGCCACCATCGGCATGGGCGTGGAGGAGAAATCAGATATGAGCCACATCAGCACTCGCGTCAAGGGCACTCTCGGTGAGTCTAGCTTGGGCAGTAATATTGTCTCTCCAAGCTCGGCAAGGAAACCCCTGCCACCATCGGCATGGGCGTGGAGGAGAAATCAGATATGAGCCACATCAGCACGCGCGTCAAGGGCACTCTCAGTGGGTTTCTTTCTTAAAAAACTTTTTTTGAGGGTTTAGGGCTGGAATCTATCTACTAGAAAAAGCAAATCCTCAGCTAACTCCACCCACCCCCCCACCAGGCTACCTGGACCTCATGTACTACACAAAGCAGCACCTCACGGACAAGAGCGACGTGTTCAGCTTGCCCATCCCAGCACCTCCCTGCACCGCTCTAAACCCCTCCTTTATCTCTCTCCCTTCCCCCACACCAGGCTACCTGGACCCCATGTGCTACACGAAGCAGCACCTGACAGACAAGAGCGATGTGTTCAGCTTCGGGGTGGTGCTGCTGGAGCTGCTGCCCATCCCTGCACCGCTCTTCTTCACTGCTTCTTCTCTCTCTTCACCTGTTTCTCCCCCACACCCCACCAGGCTACCTGGACCCCATGTACTACACGAAGCAGCACCTCACGGACAAGAGCGACGTGTTCAGCTTCGGAGTCGTGCTGCTGGAGCTGCTCACAGGCCGCCTGCCCATCTGGCAGGAAGACGATGCTTCTGGGCTTCAGAACGGGGGCGAGTCACTGATTAACCTGGTTGAATGGGTGAGTTGATATGGGCTAGGATTGGCCGGTTGTAGCTGCTGGAGCTGCTCACAGGCCGCCTGCCCATCTGGCAGGAGGACGATGCGTCCGGGCTGCAGAACGGTGGAGAGAGCTTGATCAGCCTGGTGGAATGGGTGAGTGGCAAGAGCACGGCAAGTGCGCAAGGGGTGAGTGCGTGGCTGAGCCTGTAGGGGACTGGGTGCTGCTGGAGCTGCTCACAGGCCGCCTGCCCATCTGGCAGGAGGACGACGCTTCCGGGCTGCAGAACGGGGGCGAAAGCCTGATCAACCTGGTCGAATGGGTGAGTTCCCTCCCTCCGGTAGTGCGTGAATGGGTATGGGCGAGTGGTGCAGCGGCTCAGGAGGAGTGGTGCTGCTGGAGCTGCTCACAGGCCGCCTGCCCATCAACCGGCAGGAGGTTGTCCATGCTGCTGCAGAATGGATGAGAGAGCCTCATCAACCTGGTAGAGCCGTTACCTTCCTTTTCCCCCCCTTTTCCACCTACCTCTACCTCGCCTCAACTACCCCTTCAGAGGAGTTCAAATTCAACTACCCCTTTTCCCTTTTCGATGATTTTCTACTCATTGATTCGATGATTCGCCTCATTGTGACTCCCACACTCGACGTGGACCGGCCATGCAGAGCCTCGTGAAGGATGCTGACCTCGCCTACCGCTGCGTGCGCACTCCCCCTCATTTCCCCCTTCAACCCCCCCTCCCCCACCCCGCTTCCTCCTTCCCTCCTTCAGACGGAGCCGTTTCTCAAGTCGGGTCAGATTCGTCCTATCGTAGCGCCGACTCTCGATGTGGACCGGCACATGCAGAGCCTCATGAAGGTGGCTGACCTCGCCTACCGCTGCGTGCGCACTCAGCCCAAGAGCCGGCCCGCCATGGCCGAGGTGGTCCGCGTTCTCGCAGAGGCCAAGGCCCTTCTCGACGCCGAGGGCCCCACTCCCTCCTCCTCTGCTCTCCCCCTCCCCACCCCCTCTGCTGCTGCTGCTGCTGCCGCCTCGATTTCTGGTGGTGCTGGTTCTGCTGGTGGTTCTGCTGCTGGTGCAGGGAATTCTCTGCTTGAGTCGTCCCTGAAGGTGGGGGATGGGGAGTCGGCGTTGCTGATGGATGAGGCTGGAGATGCTTTCGTGCCCCATGCTTCTGTCTCTGCTGCTGCTGCGGCTGTGGTGGGATCAGATGGTGCGGGGGATTACACGAATCCGTTCTCGATCAGCGTTATTTCGGAGTGACTGGAGCTGACTGAATGGAGGATGAGCAGCAGATGGATGGAGACGGAGAGATGTTAAACCTAAATTGAAAAAATGTTGTGATTGTGTGTTCATAAAAGCTGCAATGGTTAATGAGGTTGGATGGAGTGAGGGATTGTTGGCAATTTGGGAGAGATGCAGCTGGTGGAATGTTTTTTTTTTCTATTTTTTTTTTTAATGAAATCATTTTTTTTCGTTGTCGTCATTAACAGCAACAAGAACAAAATTTATTTGAAAACTGCCAACATGGACCTTTTCCCATGAAGTGTTTTATGTTGTGTAAGAAGTAACAATGTTACGGGTGCAATGAATCGAAGTAGCGAGAATTGCACTAAGGTGTCAAACGAGTACAAAATGTGAGCGAAGGCATGAGCGAACATTTATATGCGAAACATGCAAACGGTAATACGGTGCGTGCGAGCTAGCTAGTGCTACGCTGGAGCGAGGCTCGGGCTAGTCCCGAAGCGTAGGCCGACACGGCCAGGCCAGCAGTGCGAGGTTTGGTGAAACAGTGCGCGCGAAGTCGGCGAAGCCCCGTTAGCAGTAACGGGCGAACAACGGCTGTTGCTGTACGCGATGTAGTCGGGCTCCGTAAGGAATGCCGAGAAAATTCCTTACACTACCCCCCCCCCTCAAGAAGCCCCCTCCGCTACGCGAGTGCGTGTATATCGCGGAATCCCCGGCTCCTTAGGTACACGTGCAGGGCAGGGTGGTTTTCGATGTTGGCCAGGGGCACCCAGCTGTCCTCAGTTGGCGTGCGATCCTTCCAGCGAACGAGGAATTCAATCCTCTTGATTCCCGTGGGGTGTCGAATCCGATGGCTCAGGATTTTTTCGGGTTCGATGATCGGCTCCGATGCAGGGCGAGTCATGGATGGCGGGCGGTGGCGAGGCAGTTGGCTTGTGGTTGGGATGTAGGGGCGAAGCAAGCTGATATGGAATGAAGGGCTGATGTACCAGTCGGTCGGTAACAGTAGGTGCGCGGTTACTGGCGTGATCATGTGGCTGATTTGGAATGGGCCACAGTAGCGCGGTCGAAGTTTTGGTACGTCGGGCAGTCGCAGATTTTGCGTGTCGAGCAGTACGTAATCCCCTGACTGGTATGTGACTGGGCGGCGGTGGCGGTCAGCGTTGCGCTTAGCGATGACGTTCGCTTTTATAATTGCTTCTGCGGCTCTGGTGCGGGCAGCTTGCAGAATTTCGGCGAATTGCTGTGCATGTGGTGTTGGGTTGTCCGGACTCGGCGTCATGGGCACTGTAGGATTTTTCCCGTAGTTCAGGTAGAAGGGGGACTGCTGCGTCGTCGCTGACGTGGCGTTGTTGTACGCGAACTCGATCAGCGGCAGCTGCTGCTCCCAAGTCGTGGGGTCGTCGCACGTGGCATGAATCAACTGCTCCATCGTCTGATTCGTCCGCTCCGTTTGACCGTCGGTCTCGGGGTGGTACGACGAACTGAACTGTAGCCTGGTCCCGAACTGCTCCCATAGATTTTTCCAGAAGTTGCTGGTAAACTTCGTGTCCCTGTCGCTGATAATCGCTGCTGGTATCCCGTGCAGGCGAACAACGGCTGCGATGAACAGACGAGCGGTCTCCTCGGCTGAGATCGACTTTTTGCACGCAGCGAAGTGTGCCATCTTCGTCAACCTGTCAACGACGACCATCACCGCGTCGTTACCCCCAGGGTTCGAAGGTAACCCTGTGACGAAGTCCATGGTAACCTGCTGCCAGGCGCGCTCGGGCGGTGGTATCGGCTGTAATTGACCCGCCTTCCGCTTCCTCGAGCTTTTCATCACCTGACACGTGGGGCACGAGCCCACGTGCTGCTGCACGTCGGTCAACAGCTCCGGCCAGTAGTAATACCACTGCAGTTGCTGTCGCGTTTTCTCTAGCCCAAAATGTCACGAGGTAATTTCGTCGTGTGCCTCCTGCAGTAGCAGCTCCCTCAGTAGTGAGTACGCGGGTACCCAGATGCGGTTGGTGCCTGTTTTTACGTAATAAACTCCTTTAGCTTCTGCCAGTTGCTGTGAATTTCCAGTCGTGAAAAATGGGTCGGTGCGGTATCCGTGGGTGAATAGGCCTGTTAAAAGCGGGTTGGTCTGGGCGAGTAGGATGGCGTGGAGTTGGGCGGTAGGGCGGGTGAGTGCGTCGGCGATGTTGGATGCGCCTTTCTTGTACGTAACCGTGTAGTGGAAGTTGGAATCGAGGTAGTCCAACCAGCGAATCTATCGTGGATTGAGATTCGGTTGGGCGCGTAAGTACTGTAGTGATCGGTGGTCTGTCCGTAATGTCACGTCGGCGCCAGTCAGGTAACACCGCCAAACCTTGAACGCGTGCACGATCGCCAACATTTCGCGGTCGTGTATCGGGTAATTGCGTTCGGGCGGGTGCAGCTTGCGGGACTCGTACGCGATTGGCTGGAGGCCGTTCCCGAAATCATGCAACAGTACTGCTCCCACAGCGATGTCACTTGCGTCAGTGACGAGCTCGAACGGACGGTGTGGATCTGCGATGTGAAGCACGGGCGGTGAGCACAAAATGTTTTTGAGGGCCGAGAAGGCAGCTTGCTCTTTCTCCCCCCACGTGTACTCAACCCCCTTCCTCAGCAGGTCAGTCAACGGGGCAGTCAGCTTCGCCATGTCGGGGACGAACCGGCGCACGTAGTTGACGAACCCCAAAAAACTCTGCAACTCGGTCAAGTTGGTCGGCGCGTGCCATGCTTGAATCGTCGCAATTTTCTTCGGGTCTATTTCCACTCCTGCAGCTGAAATAATGTGTCCCAAAAACTCCAGGCGGTCCTGTAAAAACTCACACTTAGACGCTTTTGCCAGTAGGCGGTTCTCACTCAGGATTTTAAAAACTGCTTCGATGTCCTGTAAGTGCTGTGCTCTGCCAGGGCTGTAAATCAGTATGTCGTCCAGGTATACTATGACGCACTTATCTAAGAGCGGGCGGAAAGCTTCGTTCATGGTCATTTGAAAGGTGGCGGGGGCGTTGGTCAGTCCGAAAGGCATGACTGTGTATTCGAAGGATCCGTAGCGTGTGCGGAATGCGGTCTTAGGGCAGTTGGGCGGGTTGACGCGAATCTGGTGGTAACCCCCTCGGAGGTCGATTTTCGAGAAAACCCTGGCTGTGCGCAGTTGGTCGATCAGTTCATCGGCTCGCGAGATGGGGTAACGGGATTTGATGGTAACCATGTTCAGTGCTCTGTAATCTATGCACATGTGAAATCCCCCGTCTTTTTCGGTGTGAACAGTATCGGTGCTGCGAAGGGCGACGAACTAGGGCGAATGAATTCCTTCTCGAGCAGGTAATCGAGCTGCTTCCTCAGTTCGTCCAGTTCGGGCTGGGTCAGTCGGAACTGTCGCTGTACTGTTGGCTGTGCCCCCGGTTCTAACTCTATCCTGTGGTCGTGCGGTCGCTGAGGTGGCAGTCCCGTCGGTAAATCGTCCGGGAAAATGTCGCTGTACTGCTTCAACAGTGCTGCAAGGTCACTCAGTACGTCGGCCAGCAGTTTCTGTAAATCCCCTCCTTTGTCTGCTGCCTCGGCTTCCCGAATGTCGACCGCGTACACGTCAACTCCTGCCGCTACGGCGCGTTTCATCGTGATCGCGTTGACACGCACCGACGAAGACTCAGGTGAGCCCCAGCGATGTAAGGCGATGTTGTTACCGTTCACTCGCACGGTGCAGTCACCCATCGTCTAGTCGATTCGCGGGTTGTGTCGTCGCAACCAATCACGCCCGAGTAAAACATCGGTTCCGTCGAGGGTCGTTGCGAGCATTTCCTGGCTAAGCGTGAAGTTACCCCCACATCGAATCCGAACCCGGTCTACGCGTTCCCGTATCGCCAGCGGCGTGCCGTCTACCAGTCGTGCGTCGATCTCAGGTAAACATCTGTCCAGTGGCAGTCGCAGTTTTCGTGCTGTAGCGGTGTTGATGAGGCTGTGGCTGGCTCCCCCGTCTACGAAGATTTTAACTAAGTCCGTCCCGATTTTCCCACTAAGCAGTATGGGGCTGTCTACCGTAGTCCCCTCCTTATTCGGCCGAGTGTGGTCGATTGCATGAACCGGCACAATCACTCGGTGAGGGTCGGTTGGGTCGGGCGAGCGGCGTGACCTGTCAGTAGAGGGCCCGTGCTACTGACTCCCAGCGTTTCCCTGCTGCTTGGTCTGTTTCTGCTGCTCAGCTTCCCCCTTTCCCTTAGCGTTTTCTGGGCATTCGCTCTTGCGATGTCCCGGCCGATTGCACGCAAAGCAGCGCCCTTTGAACGGTGCGGCAGCGGCATTTGCGGCGACGGCACATATCGTGGCGCCCTCGTTCGTCCCACGAGGCCGATGTCCCCAATGGCTGCTTCCGTAGGACCCCGGTCTCGGTCGGCGGAAGAAATCAAGTTTCTCCGCCATGGCGAGAATTTCTTGAAAGTCGGTGACGCCGCAGAGCTGGATTTCCTGAGCGATGTCCTGCTTCAGGCCGCCGATGTAGCGGTCGATGCGCTCGCTCTCGTGCATATATCCCACCTGCTCGCATAGCGCCAGAAATCCGCTCGTGTAATCCTGGACAGAACCGAGTTGGCGCCAAGTGCGGAGCTTCTGTCGCGCCGCGATCGAAGCCGCGATTGGCTCGAAACGAGCGCGTAGACCTGCGCACCACGCGTCCCACGTGCGATACTGGGCCACCTCCACAAAATACGACGGCGCCCAGGGTCCGGTTTGTCCTTCCCGTGTCGGTAGAGTCGCGTAGTCCACCGGCTTCGTGACGATGACGCGCCACCAGTCCATGGCGGGTCCTCGCAGCAACGACACGGCGTAGCGAATCTTCGCCGTATCCTCCAAGACGTAGTTCGCGTCGAAGAAGACGTTCAACGTGAAGAGTCACGCCTGAACGGTAGGACCACCCCGCTGACTTGGGTCAAAGCATGGCGGACGCTGCGGCTTTAGCGGCATCGGCGACGGAAGAGTTGATTCGCCGGCCGGCACTGAAATCGTGACTCGAGGTTGAGTCCTGGCCGCATTCGTCGCGTCGGGGTGTGTCGTGCCGTGGTCGTCGTCTTCGTCATGGCGGATGACGCCATCACTTGCGGCGCTCGCGGGTTGCCCCACACTTCCGTGCTGTGATGTCTGTGGTTCGGGCTGAATCGGAGTGCCAGGTGCTTGGGATTGTGCCCGTGTGAGGTCGTTTTGCAGGGACGAGCGTTCTGCCGTCAGCGTCGCGATTTCCTCGGCGCTCTCGCGGATTTGTCGCAGCAGATCGTTCAGGTGCTCCTGCGTGAGAGTCGTGACGTCGATATGTTCAGCCATTTCGAAGGGCGTCGGCTCGTCTTAGTCTAGGCGCAGTCGTGGCTGCACGCGTTTACGAGAGAACGCGAGGACAGCGGCTCCTAGGTGCTAAGGTACGTGAGTCCCTTCGAGTGAAAAATCAAAAGTTGATTTCCTGGGGTGCGGAGATGCGCGGTCCGAAAAAAGGGGCTCTGAATACCAAGTGTTACGGGTGCAATGAATCGAAGTAGCGAGAATTGCACTAAGGTGTCAAACGAGTACAAAATGTGAGCGAAGGCATGAGCGAACATTTATATGCGAAACATGCAAACGGTAACGCGGTGCGTGCGAGCTAGCTAGTGCTACGCTGGAGCGAGGCTCGGGCTAGTCCCAAAGCGTAGGCCGACACGGCCGGTCCAGCAGTGCGAGGGTTTAGGGAAAACAGTGCGCGCGAAGTCGGCGAAGCCCCGTTAGCAGTAACGGGCGAACAACGGCTGTTGCTGTACGCGATGTAGTCGGGCTCCGTAAGGAATGCCGAGAAAATTCCTTACAAACAACGTAGATTGGCGATTTTGCACTTTTTTTACACGAGGAGGCTGCTGCATTATTGCCTTGCAGAAAATTATTGCAACGTGACGAAATTATTGCTCATTGGGCAACGCCGCCAGACACGGCGCTTGCACGCACAACACATCGAAATTACTGTACTGACGAAGCGACGGGATGGGATAACATGCCGCAGGCGAAGTTACGGAGGTGCTTTAGGCGAAGTGACGAAAGATGAAGTGACGAAGACGCTCAGGCCAAGTTACACGTGCATTATTGAACACTTCAACTCGAATCGCGATGGTCTTCACAGCCCCACAGACAGCTCAATCTCCCATGAAGGAGCCAATTTCGGATTCCACTGGAAGTAACTAGACTCAAAAGCACACAACACGCCACCCAACCGGAAGAGCAGCACGTGCTTGGCAAGTGAAACTATTATCAGGCACCCCCAGCCCCTCCTAAACCGTTACTGAATACTAGCAGCGAAGCCAGTGAGGGCGACTTATCAATCCGGCGACTTAGCTTGCTCGTCCTATAAGCTTGCGCCAGAAGGTCCGGATTCACGCCATCATTCGTTGATAGTTACGCTGTCCGTAACTGTTGTTTTTTTTAAACGAAACCGGTCATCTTCATCGTTCGCAATGGCGGGAATTCCTCATGACTTCGCCGCGTCGGACCTGCATCATCTCCTCTTTGAGCGCATTCTCGGCGAAGAAGGCGACGGCGGCGGAGGCGGTGAGAAGAAGACAAGTGGCATGTATAACTACATGGTTTACTCGCCGAGCTACTACATCGCTACAGTGACCGCCTTGATTGTCATCGTTTCACTGCTCTTCGAAAAAGTCATCCACGTCATCCACCACGTAAGCTTCCTGACCTTCAACACGGGTTTGTCTTTCTTTCTTTCTTTACTTGGATTTTCTAATTCAAGAAAAAGAAGCAGGCTGTAATGCGTCACGCACATTTGTCTATTGTGCGCAGTGGTTTGGTCACAGGAAGAATAAGGCTCTCGTGCACGTCGTCGACCGCATCAAAGACGGTGAGAACTGATAATAATGTATTTTGAGGCTCCTAAAAACGCTTCAATTATGATCGCAACTGACACCTGTCCACATTCTCCTCTTTCTCCTCCTTTTATCCTATTGACAGAACTTATGGTCGCCGGGTTCCTCTCCATCGTTCTCGCGTTAATCAATCCGCTCCTCGCTGGGTGGTGCGTCCCGGTCGCGAGAGACACCATTCTTATTCCGTGCAAACCGCCGGAGATGCCTTACTACTCGCCACCGCCCGTACCTGCTAACTCAACTGCAAACTACACGGAAAAGGGTTTCTCAAAAGTTCAACCAAATCATAGTGGGGTTACTCCGGATGGCGGAAATGGCACGACATTCTCGACGGTCGTCAATACCGAGCAGTTCGCGAACGGAACTGGGATCGAGATTCGCGAGACTACGATCACGTTTCGTAACGGGACGAAGATGAAAACGACGACGAGAAACGTGTTTGTCGGCAACGGAACGGGAGCTGTTACGAACAACACTAATCTGACAACACCAGATGAAAGTATAGACTCACCAATACATGGAGATGGAGGAGAGTTGTTTCCGCATTTTGATTCTTCAAACAATACCAACAACGGCCACGAAAGAGGCCTTTTGGGGTCCACATCACACAAAAACAGTGATGTTTCTTCCAGTGGGATAGAGAACCAAATTCGTCGGTTGATCCTAGATTGGGAACGACAAAAAGACCGGGAGCAGCACAAGCGGTTTCTTTTGGAAGGAGACGGCGGTTGGGAGCATGGCAGCCGGTTCAGCCACCATGTGCGAAGGAAGCTGGCGAGTTTCCCGAACGAATGTCCATCTGTGAGTGTCAATACATGCCATTTCCACCTCCTCTGACTGTAGTACCCTTTAGTTGCTATGTTTTTTCCGTTTCATTTTTTGTTGTTTTTTTATATCCTTGCATCAATTTTTTGTTCTTGCCTGTATCGAATCACTCTGTACGTGGTTTCAGGGCCAGGAGCCGTTGATGTCGCCTTCAGCCATCCACCAATTGCATCTCTTCATCTTCTTCCTCGTTGCCGGTCACATCGTCTACACCTGCATTACCATTGTCATCGCCCGTGCCAAGGTAAACTCCTTGCACTTTCACCCTTCTATACACTTTCAATAGATTAAGTAATAGCATCGTCTACACCTGCATCACCATTGTCATCGCCCGTGCCAAGGTAAACTCCTTGCACTTTCACCCTTCTATACACTTTCAATAGATTAAGTAATAGCATCGTCTACACCTGCATCACCATTGTCATCGCCCGTGCCAAGGTAAACTCCCCTCAACATACCTGTTTACACACAAAAAAATCAACTTCACATTCCTTCCAGCCTGTGGTCGCATCGCCTACACCTGCAACACCATTGTCACCGCCCATGCCTAAGTAAACTCCTCTCACTCTCACCCTTCGTCTATATACACTTCCAATGTAGGTCAATAAAAATATATATTGAAAAAGGCCTACGAGTGATAGCATCATTCACCTCCGCTTCAGGTATCCACGTGGCACAGGTGGGAGAACACGTGTCAAGAGAAGATGAGGCAAAGAGTAATCGAACCTGTCTATGTCTATTCCGCCTTAACGGTTAAATTCCCCTTTCCCGATGCCCCCTTCTCTCCCCACCCACCCACCCCGTCCCAGGTGTCCACGTGGCACAGGTGGGAGAACAAGTGTCAAGAGAAGATGAAGCAAAGGAAGGGCGCGGTATCAGGTACGTGTTCAGGGGGTGTGGTATCAGGGAATCGCCAGTCCCAGATTTTTCATTGAAATCATAGAAGCTTTTCTCTTGATACTCATGCCTTTCTCTCTCTGCGTTGTTCTCCCCCCTTCCTCTCTGTGCATCACTCACAGGTCAGCTCACCCGCGCCCTGCAAGACCGTAGCTTCATTCTCCGCCGCACAGGGCCCCTTGCCAGCTTTCGCCGCCGCGTGGCACCTGACGTGGCAGATGCCGGTTCCAGCTCAGCAGGTGCCGGATATGACGTGGAGCAGCCCCCTTCCGGCGTGGGGCAGGAGCCAGAGCTGGCGAGAACCTTCCAGGAAGTTGTCAAGGAGGGGGAAGAGGCGAAAGCTCAGGGGAGTCAGGAGCAGCAGGTTCGGGAGCAGGCTCGGGCACAGGAGGCTCGGGAGCCGGCTCGGCGAGGCTCGAAGTTGCAAGTTCACTATAGCGATGAGGATGACGTGGCAGAGGAGGAAGAGCCGGAGCATTTCACGTGGATAGGGGAGGAGGAGGAGGAGGGGGACGACCTGGATACGGTATATGAGGACGAGGAGGAGAGAGAGGAGGAGGAGAAGGAGGAGAAGGAATGGAGGAGGCAGAAGGGGATGAAGGAGGGAGGGGCAGGGGAGAAGGGGAAGAAGCGGCTGACTCGGCTGGCAACGATGGCGAGGAGAGAAGCGAGCACTGAGCTGACCGTGTGGCAGTCGCTCGTGCTCACTGTGGTGAGTTGGGGTTGGGGATTGTCAAGGGGTTGAGGCGAGGTGGGCAAAAAGCAATAAGTTAGGCTCTCAACCTTGCCGTCCTTCTTCTCCCCTCTCCCTTTCGCATACGCCCTTCCCCGTTCTCCTCTCTCCCAATGCTCTGGCTCCCTTCTCATGCACCCGTGTCCTGCCCCAACCCACCCCATGCTGACTGAACCCCACAGCAATGCTTTTTCCAGCAACTGTTCAACCCGATCACCCGGTCTGACTACTACACTCTCCGGCTTGCATTCATTCATGTAAGTAATATTATGATGATGAACTATTATTATATTGCTGTTACTAATACTATTATCACTACTATTGTTATTGTTATTATCTTTGGTTTGTTTTTTCCTACTTCCTTTAGAGTGCACACAGTTAAGTGTACCTCGGCTGGCTGTGTGATCCGATCAAGCACTGATGCTGTTCCTCCCTTGGTGACTTCCTTTCTACAATATACGAATCAGATCCAAGCAAGCACCATTCGCCCACTCCCTTTGCCTTCCTCCCAGTCTTTCAGAATCAGACCTTCCTCAAGACTTCGATTTCTGTCACCATGTGGTTAGCACCACTCGCCCACTCCCTTCCCCTCCTCCCTTCCCCTCCTCCCTTCCCTCCTCCCCATCTTTCAGAATCAGGACCTTCCTCGAGACTTCGATTTCTATCACCACGTGGTTGGCTCCCTGGAGAAGGACTTTGTCCACATCGTCGGCCTCAGGTGAAAGCTCAGGTGTTTTCAACAGATGATTGGTTGATGACCTAGAAAACGACTTCGTCCACATCGTTAACCTCAGGTGTTTTTTTTCATGTGCGTGGCCGATAGGCTCAGTCGTACTTTTACAGAATGCTACTCAGGTAACGACTTTTGATTTTCAACATAGTGTTTCTGTTTCGTTTCTGGTTTTTCCTCATCCATAAGCCCCTCCCCCTCCCTTCCCCCATATCTCCTCCCAACTCTTTCCAACCCCTCCCCCAACCCCTTCCCTCTGCCTACCCAGCTTGCCTCTCTGGATCACTCTCGTTATTGTCATATGCATCACAAGCTACAGTAAGTCACTCTTATCTACTGTAATGACAGCCAGTTTCCTGCTTTTGTTAGATACTGCTTCTTTCGCTATCGTAGCTGATGCTCTGTCAAGCATCTCTCGAAATATACATGTAAATATGTATATATCTCTCTAAAAATAGTATATGTGTGTATATATTTACATCTATGATATATGTATGTGTGTAAGTCCCTCTACTTCTTTCTTTGCACTTAATCACCCCGCCTCACCCCTTGTCACGCTTACCCTCTCCCCCTTCCACAGAGTGGGACATCTCATTCATCTTTTCCGTTCTCGGCCTCCTGGTGAGCACATTCTCGTTGTAGAATTGTAACACATGCTCGTCCAAGCACATAGTCTTTTTTTTTACCACTCGTTAGATACACAGAAACAAAAGCATTGATATCCATCTAAATAGCATGCACATGCCTGTGCAGAGCCTGTGTAACATCAATCTATGTAGCATGCTTTGACGCATTTGTTATGAACCTACATATTTAAGTATGCGTTTGTTTACTGTACATGTATACACAGATCGTTCTGGCAGTGGGAACGAAGCTGGAGTACATCGTATCGCTGCTGGCTCTAGAGAGTGCGCATGTGACTGGAGACTGCGAGGGCTGCCACTTAAAGCCCCGAGGCTCGCTCTTCTGGTTCAAGCGACCCTCCTTCATGCTGTCTTTGCTGCACTTCGCTCTCTTCATTGTAAGCAACTCTCTGAGTTCCTGAGTTTCAGCGACTCTCTGTTGTAAGCGAGAGGGTTAGAAATAGGAGTTACCCTCCTGCTTTGTAGAGAGAGAGAGAATGAGTGAGTGAGTGTGTGTGTGTGTGTGTGTGTTTTGGAATGTGTGAGTTCTAGTGACCAACCTTCAAACTACACCCGCTGCACTATGCACTATTTGATGCTCTGTAGATTCTGTCATCTACACGCGACAGTCAGATTCCTTTTTGTATGATGAGCCGTTTCTGCCATAAATAAAATAACAGGGTGTTGTGCAATTAAACAACTGGCTAGAAATTTATCTCCTTCACAAGTTGGCTCTTTATTCTCCTCTTTTCCACCCGACTGTGCCTGTTTTTTCTGCAGAGCTCGTACATGATCGGCAACCTAGTCGTCTACTATGTAAGTACCACCCCAAGTACCACCCCAACGGCCACAAGGAATAAGTGTGGTGTTTCCAGTGCTTGTCTCATCATTTCCCAAAAAAAAAGGGTTTCCAAGGTAGTACTGATCCAGTCGCAGTTCAAGAACTACTCTGCCTGGGTGCCATGGCTCATTCATATTTTAAATACCAAGCACTTCACAAATCCCTTACCCTCAACTGTTGGTCCCGGTCTTCTTCCCTCCCCTGCCCACACCAGTAGCTAGCACTGAACCAGTCGCAGTGCAATACCTGCTCTGTCTGTGTGCCATGGCTCGAGTGTATAATCTTGATCAGAAGTTTCTTACTCCACAACTCCCGTTCTCGCTCCCTTCCTTGTCCATCCCTCCCCTGCCCAAACCAGTATCTAGCGCTGAACCAGGAGCAGTGCGGTTCTCACTCCCCTTCCCTTCCCTTCCTTTTCCTGATCCGCCCTGCCCTCCCCTGCCCAAACCAGTATCTAGTGCTGAACCAATCACAGTGCAAGAGCTACTCCGCCTGGGTGCCGTGGCTTAAGTTTATAATTGGCATCGCCACTGTACTCATCTGCAGCCTCAGCACGCTGCCGCTATACGCCCTCCTAACCCACGTGAGTATGAGGTTTCAATGCATGTACACTTGAAAAGAGCCTGTTATTAGGATTGCCACCCTGCTCATCTGCAGCCTCAGCATGCTGCCGCTATGTGCCCTCCTAACCCACGTGAGTATGAGGTTTCAAGACATGTACACTTGAAACGAGTCTGTCCTTGGGATTGCCACCCTGCCCATCTGCAGCCTCAGCATGCTGCCACTATACGCCCTCCTAACTCACATGAACTTGCAGTTTTTTAGGCGCCTGCCTACATCTTTTGCTCAAGTCGCAAGTCCATCCTCTGCATTGGCTTGTGCTCTTCGCTGCTGCAGCCTCAGTCGGCACGCTGCTGCTTAGATGTCACTGATAAGTGTACCCGCCCCGCCCACCCGCATTCTCATCTCAATCTGTTTGTTTGTGTTGTGCAGATGGGAGGCAAACCCAGCCACTTGGACGAAGGACGCAAGCAAGGGAAAATAGCGGCTGTTTTCACAGAGCAGATGAAAAAGATACAGGAACACAGATCCAAGGATGACATACGAGCATAGAGTGCTATTACGGTACCTTCAACGTACCTTGAACGTAGAAAATCGTTTTCTACATACCGTAATAAGCAGCACCCCCCGTATGTTGCTTCTTTGCAAATTCCCAGAATAAATGGGGGGGCTTTAGATGTGTTGGTTCACTCCACCCGGTGAACCTGCTAGCTTCACATGCAAACTCTAATGCCATTTCATGACAATTAGGAATGGTTTGATTTAGATGTGTTGGTTCACTCCACCCATTGTGTGCACTATACGGACAATTCTTCCAATGACAAGCCAACCAGTAACGCATCCAGAACAAGCCAGAAATCCTTTTGGCTACGTTCTGCAGGCGCATCAGCTCTGATGCGTCTGATGCTCGGCCGGATCCGCACATTGAGAAATTGAGGTTCGGAAATTGCGAATTGAAAATTGAGAAATTGAGGTTCGGACATTTGAAATTGAGGTTTGGAAAATCTGGCGAAATTGAATTGAGGTCAGGAAATTGGACATTCAATTTCTTGACGAATTAAAAAATTGCAAATGTTACAGGTTTCTTGAAAGCTTCTTCGTCGCTGGATTTCGGTTTGGCCAAACTGATTGGCCAATGAGGTTGCAGCGCATCAGCTGATGCGCGCATGATCCGAGTTTTCGAAGTCGCATGATGCGCGCATCAATGATGCGCCAGCTTGCAAGGAGAGGAAGCTTCTTGGAAAGCAGACACATGACAAATTTCGTAAGCCAAAAAGGCCGTTCTGCAGGCATTCGGGTTTGTTTAGCTTCGGCAGCCATACGCTTATCGCGAACCTTGATAACCTGTCGGCAGGTTATCGTCGAAAATACCTGGAACCATGGTAGAACGCATCAATGTACATTGATGCGGGCTGATGCGCCTGCAGAACGCAGCCGTTGATAGGACGAAATCTTCACTTCACTGCATTGCAGCAGCCCATGCCTGGCGATTTACTAAGGGCGTGTGTGAATCTAATTGCAGTTCGAAAATGGGATCGAACCTAGTGTGGTAGCCAATATCGAGCATGTTCGCCAGCGCTTTCGCCAATGCTGTGTTCACTTTGTCACGCACGAAACTCGAACCCCGAAAAGTGAACAAGATTCGAGTATATGAGCAAACGTGGTTTTGCACGTTGTAGTGAACGTGTGTGGTTTCAGGCACGTACGCGGAATGTGCAAAACTCGCAAAAAATTCGTGCGATTCGTCGACGTGTCGCGCTGTCAAGATTCTGATACTGGGTAACTTACGCACCCTAGAAGCGGTTCGGTTCCCCCCCTACAGGCTCGAACTTGCAGATTCGCACTTGCGCGTGTGGTTGTGAGTTTACAACTTTTCACACTTGCGGTTCGAACCTTGCAAACACTCAAAATCGAGTCAGGTTCGCTTAGTGTTCACTTGCTACAATCGAGTCAAAACCTAACTTAAGGTAAAACTAGATTCACACACGCCCTAATGTTACCCAGCGACAATCTCTAGCTGCTCCTCGTGAAACTCTCGTCTCAATTTTCACTTCACTTCCCTTGGTATCGCATCGCCAGACACGGCACTTCCACAACACGCTATCATCAAGCACTTATTGACGGCGCGGAAGGGGATACTCGGCGCAGGCGAAGTCACGAAGTTTCGTCAGGCGAAAGTGCATCATTGCCGTGCATAGAAGTATTGCAACAACAGGATTATCTCCTTGGTATCGCCAGACACGGCACTTCCACACACGCTATTTTCAAGCACTTCTATTGACGGCGCGGAAGGGGATACTCGGCGCAAGCTTCGTCAGCGTAGACGCACGCGACTCGCAATGGTCTTCACGGCCCCGCTACTCTCGCTCGAAGGAGCCACGGATGATAAATTACTCGACCCAAAAAAACACAAGCCACCCTGAAGGACAGCGCGTGCCTGACGGGCCGCAAAGCTATTATCTGACGGGCACCACCTCTCCTACGTTTCGATTGGATTCTTGCAGCGGCGAAGCCAGTCACGGCGACTGATAACTTGCTCGTATCCGAAGCTTTGTGTTTTTGAGAATTCTCAAAAATACCCTGCAGCGTCACTGCGACTGATAACTTGCTCGCATCTGAAGCTTTCCTTACAAGGTCTGCTTTTGAGGCATTGCCGATTGTTACATCGTCTGCTCCATTGTCCGACGAAACCCGTTACGTCTTCATCGTTGGCAATGGCGGGAAATCGTCATGATTTCGCCGCGTCGGACTTGCGGCGCCATATGCTCTTTGAGCGCATTCTCGCCGAAGGGTCCGGAGGCGGTGAGACGGAGCCAGGCAGAATGTACAACTACATGGTTTACTCGCCGAGCTACCTCATCGCTATAGTGACCGTCGTAATTGTCACGATTTCGCTGCTCTTCAAGAAAACCATCCGTGTCATCCACCATGCAAGCCGCGAAGGATGACGGTTTCGAGAAAACCTAAACTTCAAATCGCACATACTTTCTTTCGTCTTTTCAGGCTTCTCTAGTGCGAGAGGAAGCCGGCCCGGCTGTGTAACACATCATGCATTGTGTCTTGTGCGCAGTGGTTTGGTCACAGGAAGAAAAAGGCCCTTGTGCACGTGGTCGACCGCATTAAAGACGGTATGGACTACCTTATCTCAGGGAGGATACCTCTGACTTCTCATGAAGTGGGTGAAGGGGTTTACAATGTGCCTCAGGGAGAAGAACAACAATCTCATGGAATATCGCAACTGTCGATTTTCTCCTCTTTCTCCCCTTGTTCTCAATTTTCCAGAGCTTATGGTCGCCG